TTAATTTTTCAATTTCACTGGATATCTTTTCGATTTTCAAATATTCACTTTATAAACGATATTTTCATTAATTAGTCATTAAGAAAAAATAAAAATTAGAATTATTTTGAAAAAAAAAAATGAATGATGCTGGCATCGAACCGAGGCGGTCCGCGTGCCAGTCAAGCGCGTTGCCGAATAGACAACGCGCTCATTATAAAATTAAAATTTAATTAGTAGTATATCTTCAACATATTGAATTATTTTTCCATGTGAATTTGCAGTTAAACAAATAAAAAACAAAAAGCATTCACCCCAGCATGGCGTGCGGCGCCCTCCCTTTCTTGGGGTGCAGTACTACGATGCACCTGGGGTCATTCAAACCCCCAGAACTGCGCCTCTATTTTAGTCAATCCTCTCTGCAATAACCTGTCAAAATTTCAATCACTGCTAAAAGATTCAAAATATTAAATTAAAAATTTCCTTCATGAGCGAATAATGACGATTTATTTAATGGGTTTCATGACATTTTTAGTATTCCTTTTAACAGATTTGATAAGAGCTGCCAGATCGGAATTAATTTCCTTGTTTGTTCCACTTCTCGACTGCTTCGTTACTACTTCCTACAAAAAAAAATACACCACACGTCAAAATTTTCAAAACTAAAATTGTATTCCCCCTTTTAAAATATATAAATGAACAAGAGGATAGAACTCACCGCCTGCACCTCCCCATTGGCTCTTCTCTTGAGTTTTTCTTTGATGAGTGCCTCTGTGCCCTTGGTCTTCCTGTAGTGGGAGTCAGCAGGATCGATATTGAAGTGGTGGGAGGTGAAGAGAGCACCGAACCTGGGATCCTCAACATTCACCTGGAAATCATCCTCAGGGGCATTCTCCACTTGCTCCTTTTTCCTCTTGTTCAGCCGTTTTTTCTTGGACTTGGTGAGAGCCTCAGTCTCCTCAATTTTTTTCATGTCGAAGTGTCGTTTCTGCTCGTCCTCTCTGTCTAGAAGCAGAAGCTCGAGTTCAGCCTCCCTCTGGGCTGCCCCATCACTCTCATCACTAGAACCTTTATCCCTTTTCCTCGGGAACTTCTCCTCGACTCGTGTTTTCCCCAGCTCTTCAGCAAAGTATGGATCATTCATATCAACGTCAGAAGGCACTGAGTCCTCGCTGTCAGAGGCTTGATCGACCTCAGGGTTCTTCAGCTTCTTCTTCTCCTCCCTCTTCGCCTTTTTCTTCTCTTTTCTTTTCTCCAGGTACTGCTCGAAGGGCGTCAGCTTCTCAGACTCCTTCATCTTCTTCTCGACAAGTTTCTCAGCCTTCTCCTTGGTACCCAGACCCCACGTGAACTCCAGATCCCCGCTTTTCCTCTTCTTCTCTTCCTCCTGCTGCTCTATTGACTTCAACAGGGATTTGTATTTATCCAGTGGATTTATTTTACCGTCGATATCGTCGTCAACCCCTCCTTCTTCAATATCTGTAATAAAACCAAAGAATGAATGACTTAAAATAAAATATCATCTCATTTATAAATCTCACCAGCCTCTTCGTCGCTGCTGCCACTCGCCAAATAAATCTTGATATCATTCTCATCGATATCATCAATCTTTCCGGAGTTAATTTTTTTTGTGATCTCCTGTCTGTCGAGCTTCGTCTCGTCCCAGGTGCACTGGACCTTGACCTGCTGCAGGGCAGTCGTGGTAAACTGTCTGGGTTGATACTTGGAGACATCAGGAAGCTTGTCGCAGATCTCCTTGGGTGTCTGATCGAACTCCATGTCCTCAGGAATAAATCTCAAGTCTATTTTCGTAGCAGTTGACTCGTACTCGTGGCCATCGCACTCAGTGTAGATCTTGTTGGCACTCGCCTTCGAATCAAAGGCGATAACAGCGTAGTAATACTTCAGCCTGTTCAACTGGTACTGCCTGAGCTTCTCCCGGTGGAAATCGTTGCCCTCCTCGTCGTCCTCCCCTCCAGATTCATCCTCATCGTTGTCTCTGAGCTCGATTGGGCCCTTCATCTCCTCCTCCTTCAGCCTCTCGAGGCCAAACTCTGACGGATAAATCGTGACAGAGTGGATGAGGCCTCCTGGTGGAAGAAACGAGTTGAATAAGACCATCAGGTCCACCGCACGAATCCTATCCCAGTCCATGTTGCAGGCTGCCAGCCTCGATGTGATTTCATCAGTCGTATCAGCTTCTCTGTCCAGCTCTCCCCACATGTGCTCGATCCCCTCGTCCTCGTCTGATTCCTCTGAGGAGTCGTCGTCAGAGGAACTGTCTGACACCAGAGCACCCTCTCCTCTCGCATAATCCACTGACAAATCCCGTAATTTCGTTTTTATCTCCCTCGATATACCCGTACTTTCATTTTTCCTTCTCAACTGCAGCTGCTTCTCGTTCTTCTCCTCATCTCCCCCAAGATCTTCTTGACTTTCTGATTGCTCGTCCTCTGGACCATTGTCCGTTTCATCGACCGTTGAATTTTCGAGAGATTTTTTTTTCTCTTGGGGTTTTTTCGAAGTCCTGGAGGACTTCTTCTGGGAGTTCTTCTCGATTCTCTTCGGTTTTTCCTCGGGGTCATCCTCACTTTCTGAAGAGAGCTCGTAATATTTCTCCAGGTCCTCGGCCGATGATTTCTTCAGGGGTCGTCCTCGCTTGTCTATCGTGTACGTGACTTTAAAATTCTTGTCTTTGAACATCGACTGAAATCTCTTGTCGATTTTTATCTTCCTCTCGCTTTTTGGAATTCGCCGGAACTTCGGGTCCTTCGGGACGTGAGCGAAACGAGGATCCTTCGATATTTCCTCCATTTCTATTTTATTTAAATAGCCTCGAATTAATATCTTTATAACAAAAACTCGACTGCAGTTCAAGTGAAAACAAATGCATTAGGTTAGATTCCAATTTAAATAATTGTCTCACCTGAACCTCAAAAAAATCCTCAAATTTTTAAACGAAACTCGAAAATCCTTTTTACGTATTCCCTAAAAAAAACTATTCCCTCGAAATTGACGAGTGTCCAGAGGCCAAATAAAAATGAAAATGACAAAACGAATAAAACGTGTTGTCAACACGTGTGGTCGTTCACTGCTTTACCGACAGAATTTTCATCAATTTTCATAGGTGTGTAAGTGGAAATAAAACGGTATAACTGACATAAGGATCTTGCCCCTGAGTGTGTGCATAATTTTCCTCGTAGCAGGTGCCCAACACACACCCGAAATCTCGAAAATTTGCAGTAAAACTAAAAGATTTTCAACATTCAGCAAGTGATCCGAAGGTGAAAACCCAAACGCAAAAAAGTGTCAAAACACTTCAACAGTGGAGAGGAATTTCCCCGGTGATTATTCCTCGTCTGTCACGTAAACACAATAGCCAATGAATTAACACTGGTACCAAAGGTTATGGTTATGTCACTTGCATAATATGGCGTCTTCCGAGGTATCAGACGATGGACAGGACTGGAAAACCCTCGAGTACAGAATCTACAAGTGTTCGAGTTACTCCCCTACTTATGTACCCGAGAATATCCTGGTGGATAAACCACTGGACCAGTCATCCCGATGGTCATCGGACAATGACAATCATCCCCAGTACCTGGCCCTCAAACTCCAGAGGCCCTCGATTGTTCGATCCATAACATTCGGTAAATTTGAGAAGACACACGTCTGCAACATGAAGAAGTTCAAGATCTACGGTGGCATGGAGTACGACAATCTGATGGAGCTGTTGAAAAGTGGTTTGAAGAATGACTCAATCTCGGAGACATTCGAGTTGAAGCACAAGATCGGTAGAAATGATACTTATTATCCAGTTCGCTACCTCAAGATAATGCCACTCCAGTCCTGGGGCCCCAGCTTTAACTTCTCCATTTGGCACGTTCGTCTCACGGGGATGGACGATCCCCTGGTGATAGCCCCCTGCATTAAATACGTAGAGCAGTACTTTCAGAATGAGATAATAAGACTCTGCATGAAGCACTTTCGTCGTCTGGAGCAGCCCCAGGTGGTGCAGACACTGGAGAGTGTAGGGAATGTCAAATTGGAGGATCAACGTTTGTCAGTGCTGTACGAGATCCTGGTGAATCGTGGGGATCACCACGAGGCTGAGCACTTCATCACGAATGCCATTGGCATTGGCTTACTCGATGATTACATGAATAGCCAGCCATACAGAGCTGTTTGGAAGAAGATGTCATGTGAAGAGCCAAGACCTGGGATGCGTGGTGGACACCAGATGGTCCTCGACTCCTCTGCCGAGACCCTTTATCTCTTCGGTGGATGGGATGGCACTCAGGATCTTGCAGATCTGTGGCAATACGACATCAAAACTGAGAAGTGGTCACTAATCTGCAAGGACACTGAGGCTGTAGCTGGACCCACTGCACGCTCCTGCCACAAAATGTGTCTCGATCCTGAGAAAAGACAGCTGTTCACCCTGGGGAGGTACCTGGATACCCAGTATCGAACACCAGATAATTTGAAGAGTGATTTTTACGTGTACGATATTGAATCCAACAAGTGGACGCAGATCTCAGAGGACACTGGGGCTGTGGGAGGCCCCAGACTGATATTCGATCATCAGATGTGCATGGACGTCAGTAATAGGATTATTTATGTGTTTGGGGGACGGGTTCTCGTGCCATCTGGGGCGAGTGAGGACGGGGGTCCCATTACCTCCGCTGAACCCATATTCTCTGGACTTTATTCGTATCACGTTGCCACCAGCACATGGAATATCCTCGCATGTGACATCGCCAGACCCAGTCCCTTCAGTGTTCCCATTATTAGATCACGTGTTGGACACTCCATGCTGTTCAATCCTGTCGACAGGAAGCTGTATATATCCGCTGGGCAGAGGAGCAAGGAGTACCTCAATGATTTTTTCACTTATGAGGTTGATACTAATATGGTGGAGCACATCAGTGTCACTGACTTTGGTGGACAGGACTCTAGTCACACACCAGCTGCTGGTTATACCCAGAGGGCCACAATCGATCCACTCCTGGGTGAGATTTACGTTCTCTCTGGGCTGAGCAAGGACAAGGACAAGAGGGAGGAGAACGTCCAGAACTCCTTCTGGGTTTACAAAATCAAGAAGAACAGTTGGACTTGTGTTTATAGAAATGAGAATGGGGGTGAGAAGTACTGGAGTCGAATGCAGGACTTTGAGCCGTGTCCCAGATTTGCTCATCAGTTGGTTTATGATACTGATAAGAAAGTGCATTATTTGTTTGGGGGCAACCCCGGCAGGTCTTGTTTACCGAAGCTCAGGCTCGATGATTTCTGGCAGCTCAAACTCTGTAAACCGAGTCAGGAACAGGTGCTCAGACGATGCAAGCTCATTATCAGGAAGTACAAATTCAAGGAATTGGCTCTCAACAGCAGCATCGAGGCTCTCGAGTACCTCCAGAGGGATGTGTCCGAGATTATCGATCATGGGGACGAGGAGCAAACCAAAGAGTTTCAGGGACTCACCTCTGTCTTATTCCGGGAACAGGAGAGGCTCGATCTCCAGGGGAATGAGGACAAGGAGATTATGGAGAGGGAACTGCATCAGAGGAGGGCTGAGCTCTTCGATAAACTCATGGAATTTTTTCCTGAGACTCTCACTCAACCCAGGGCAAATCTCGTCGATCTTCTGCCTTTGTGACATCGGTGGTAAATTCTCAGGGTGAATCAGGGAGTTTGAGGATTTGGCGCGTACAATTTCTGGGTGACACGTACATACTCTATTTCTCAAACTACTCAATGGAGAAATCAGCAGCGAAATGGTTACAAAAAATTTAAAAACAGCTGAGTGTCAGGAACATTTCAAGAAAATCATTTAGATTTAGTTTGAAAATTAATTTATCTCACTTCACTTCGCTCCTAAAATCTACGGTTTTCATTTTTATATGTTATTTGTCGAAGTTTAGTGCAACTAGTCCCAGGGGATTTTATTTTTCAATATGAGAATTCTGAGAATGTATTTTTTTTAGTGTTTCGTGTATATATGGTCTTTATTACTGACACGTACGGAAGTTTAATAGAAATTTTCAGTTTTATTGTCTCTATTCGATTACGAATTTTCAACACTAATTGTAGGATCTGATTCCTGTAATATTGTTTCTGTAAATTGATCAACGTGAATATTCTGAATTTTTTGCTTCAATTTTTTTGGTAAAGAACAATTTAAAAAGGCTGGGAAATGTCGGGAAATTTGTGTGAATAATTTACGCGAAATATCTCGGTAGATCGAGTTTGTCTAGAGTTGAGTAATTATTTTCTATTTAATATTATTGTTTGTAGTTTTTTTTTTCTATTAAATTTTTACGTATGTCCTTCAGCCTCAGTTTATTATCTTGACGTATTACAGGATAGAGTGATAATTTATGGGTGCAGCTGAAAGATTGATAATTCTCTGTGATATGTCGAGATACATCAGACTCGAAGTCATTGTTGTAGTGAGTTATTGAAATGATACATGACAAAGTATTCTGACGTACTTGAAAGCTTTATGTAAAGTCGGAGATTCTGATGTTGTTAATATTATGCTAGATATTATTCAATGAGATGTTGCTGCATTTTTCTCGACTGTCGCCAGGTGTTTTTTTTTTTTCAACAATTTACGAATGAATGAGAACAGTCTGTTGAGCTTCTTGCGGTCATTTTCGTGCTTCCGATGATCTCCATTAAGCAGCTGTTCAATTATAATTAATTGTTAAGATCATCGTACTAATGCAGAGTTGTACATATTGTTCATTATGCGCTGTTGAATAATATCTATCGCCATTTATTGAATATGGAATTTTGTAATAAACATCCTTCACGAAATACTGTCTGTTTTTTCTCATTTTTTGGTTATTCATTATTATTTATATTTATTAGTAATCAGGGGCCAGTCTTTTACTATCGAGCTATCAACATCGGAAATTATCGAAATAGCTTGTATCGAATTTTTACCCGAAATAAAATTGTTGAAATTCAATGAATTATCTATTTGTGTTGGAGTAGGAGGAGATATTACTTTCTCCTACGTGTGGTTTTTTTGGGTGGGTGTATCTTGGAGAAATTGGGTAACGGCAATGTTGAGTGTTGTTTCATCATCCTGTTGGCTTCCCCACCGTTTCAACCCCTCCTTCAACAATAAATTGCCTTTAATGCGCTTGCGTTCCTCTTTCAAGGTCGCATTTGTCTCACTTGATACTTGTCTTCTCCTTTCAGCACTTCATATTCTCAATCCGCTGAAAAATCCACCACGACCAACGCACCGACTCCTCTCAACATTTCATTGGCCCTCCACCCGACAAAACGTCAACGCTCATCCAGTATCCAAACGTGAGTTATCTTTTTATTGTTCTTATAATTTACAGTGTTTAATTATTTTCGTATCAGCTTCTGAGGATCACAATGTGCCACATGGCATTACGTAAAAATTCATTGATCACGCGTACTCTGACATTTCTTTTTAAACTCCTTGTTCGAGTGATAAGAATTTGTCATTTCAAGATAATAATGGAATTTATGGGGATTAGATTTTATGGGAACTGGGGAGAATATTTATTTGGAGCAAGTGAAATCTTGGGAAATAAATTAACCGCACTGGCACATCGCTAAACTCTGACTTTTCCGTTAGCTCGTCCTCCACTGTAAAAAAAAAGTGCGCTAACGTTCCGTCAATTCAAATTTTGTTGGAGATCTTACGGAATTTAATCGATATTAATTCTGGGAATTTTTTATTACACTTCGCACATGTATTTCGGTAAAAAAGGGAAAAGGGTACATATGGTTTAATTAAACTGGCGAATGTAGATTTTTTTTTGTGAGGCTTTGGTCGTGTATTTGAAACTACCAATGAAAAATGGCGGGCAACTTATTTTTATCTGTCAAAATATGGGAGGAATAATGACTTTGAAATTATTTATATCAGTCTACTTGCGAAATAATTGTCGATTCAACTCATCTTGGTGACTTTCTCATTTATAAATGCAGTTTCTTGAGTTCCTCACTCTTATCTCACGTAAATAATTATTGAGAATGATTTCCCAAAAGAGTTAATTAAGTTAATGAAATAAATTGAATTTCCGAATTGCCCAAAAGGGGAATCTCTCAAGGTAATTGATGAGAATGAAAAAAAAACGATCAATAGGCATAAATATTTTTTATTTAACAGGAAACAATAACAATGCCGAAAGTAGACCGTAGGGAAACAAAGGACCCAGTCAAGCGGAACTATCAATCACTCCCTTTCTACCTATCAGCTCCAAGTTTAAAGCTTACTACAATTGCCAATACTTTACAAGTTGAGCAGTAGCACTGGCATCAAGCAGAGCTCCTTCGCTTCCTCGATGAGCAGATAGACCAGTCCACACTTAATACCAATTTAGCCAACATCTTTCAATCATCAGCGATGACGTGATCTGATTGATAAATTGCAATTGTGTATTTTTCTACGTATTGAATAATTGGCGAGAATGAAAGCGGATTTGAACTCAGTCAAACGTGCGACCTGAAATTTATACCTGAATCTAAATTACGTGACAAGAAGATAAGGGAATCAGTCAATCAGGTGAGAATGGCTGAAGCTACTGGACTTTGGGTATTCGGTTATGGATCTTTGTGCTGGAATCCTGGATTTGAATTTAAAAGAAATATGACTGGACATGTCAAGGGATTTGGCAGACGGTTCTGGCAGGGGAATGATAGTCATCGAGGAACTAGTGATAAGGTAGTTAACGTTTTTATTATTTACTCTCATTGTGACAGCGTCAAATTACACATTCACTAATTTTTTTACTCGAAATTTCAAAGGCGCCAGCTATTTTTCCTCAGGTACATGTTCCCGAATTTCTCCTCCAGGAAGAGCTATTTATATATGTTTATAAATTATTTTCAAAAATAGCCGCCGATTGAGAGGTGAATGCCCGAGGAAAAAGTGGAGTCTCGTTTTATTTCGGTTGAATTATTTTTCTACATTCTTTGTTTATTGTTTTAAGTGTTTGTTACATTGGTGTCACTTAATTCTCTTTGTCCGTGACTTCTTTCCCTCGAAGACATCCGGGACACATTATCTTTGCGCTGAGTTTCGCTCGCAGGGAAAAACGAGTACGCAACAAAGAAGATAGGAAAGACTGAGTTTCTGGGGAGATGACTGAGTACAGAGACTACTATTAATATTCCGATTCAACCGATCACGCGCTTCACTCATGATTTCAGACATTAGCACCATGATTTCGACACGAGCCACGAATTTAGCGAATTATCTGAAAATATTTTTTCATGGTTCACTAATGATTTTTTAAATGATTGGTGTCGTTTATTTTCAGTTTATATAGCTCGGTCTCAGGGAATGCTATTGAAATTTTATGCGTACATTATTTATCACCTTCTACCGTTAAAAGTAAACTTTTGAGACTTCTGTTAACGTACCCGAAAGATAATCCATTGGAACTGCAAACAAAGAACACGTGGCAGTCACACGATATCGTAGAATAAATTATTTTCCTGGGGAGAAAAAACAGTAATTAATTAAGTTCTAACAATTTTTGTCTTCAAACAAACATCAATGGATCAATCAATTGTTCATAAAGTCGGATATCTCTTAATCTATCAACATCTACTCCAGAAAATAAAAACGTAAATTGTTTAAAAAAATAAATACTTGACACATTTTTTAACAATTGATCTACTGTATGTTTCAGCCTGGGCGAGTGGCCACTCTGATCGACGATAGAAAAGTAAGATTTTTTAATGGAATATTGAATGAAACAAATTGGAAAATTATGTGAATTAATGATGATTTGTTTATTCTCAAGGAGATCACATATGGTCGGGCATTCGAAGTAACTGGAAGTGCAGCATTGCCTTATCTTGAGAACAGAGAATGCACTTTAGGTGGATATTTAACGACAATATCAACTTTTTATTCGCAAGATGGAACGCAGACTTTTCCTGTGGTTATCTACATTGCAACTCAAAAAAATAAGCATTGGCTTGGTGATGCACCCATCCATGATATTGCTCAACAAATTTTGGAATCTAAAGGCCCTAGTGGTCATAATGTGGAATATCTCCTCAGGTAAATTTACTCGAAGAAATTATCTTTCATTTTTGTTATTTCATAAAGAATATTCAATGAAACGCGGTACATCGGAATTATATTGCAATTCCTTAATTTCTGAATATACAATTATTCATTTTTTTAATGATAAATTTCGTTTGAATAGAATCCAAAAGATTTCGGGTACGAAACGTATAAAGAATTCCTTATCATTAACTCTTTCAATTTTTTCGGTATCTTTAGATATCGATATAATAACTCGAGGTGTTATCTCCAATTGTTACGCGCAATCGGCATTCTCGTGGTACGGTGAACTGGAAAATTCAACATGCTGGAACCAGAAACATTTATTACACATAAAACCTCATGGATGATTATGAATGAATGGGTGATTGTGAATGGGTACAGCAAACTCTTTGTATTTGCGATTACTGCCGATGCAGTGGGTCTTAATTCATTTTCTGAAAATTAAAAAATATCGGTAGTAATTCAACCGTTGGAGATAATTCTTTGAATATTCCCCGATCTTTTAAATTAATTGATATTTCGCTATTTAAATAGGTTTCACGATTTACCGGGCAATACCGATTTATTTTCAATTGATTTATCTGTGAATCAAAAAATTATCAGTATGAATACCTATATCTAATCACCATGAACCAATATTTCATGAATAAAAATGAATATTTTCATTCTTAGATTAGCAGATTTCATGCACCAATTCATCCCCGAAGCTTATGACGAGCATCTGTTCACCTTGGAATTGGTCGTTCGTGCGAGAATAAAAGAACTGAATCTGTGCTTGAAAACGTTAATGGGCAATCGTGAATTCGTCATCCAAATAGAAATAGAGAGAGACTCTGACAGTTCTGATAACGATATACCAGACAATGTACCTCGTCGCCAGTCATACGAATACACATCTAGAATTGCTGGAAAAACATTGCGCTGCTTGAAACCCTAATTCACACACCGAAAAATGAGGATTGAGCTCGAGCTCAAAGTGATATTCTAACTCTTCATGAAAATATTTTCAATTGATACTGAATAATTATTTTTGACTATTTATTTTTTTACATATTGCCGGTTGAATGTTCATACGTGCCTCTATTCATAATTTTATACATTTTTCTTATATATAATTTTGAACGCACAATGATATTTAGTATATAATATGTAAGAGCACAATTCAAATTGGATAGGAAAATTATGGGCTGACGAAATTTTTCGGAGAATATCATATTGATACGCTTTGAAAGATGATAATAAATAAAATAAATGAAGGGCATTATTCTTAAAATAAAAATTGTTTCTTATCAATTTTTTCATCGATCAATAATTGATCAGGAGTCATTTGTCCGTGTAATTATACAATCTAATTCTTATTAATGACAGAAATTAGCATTATTAGGCACATCCAGTAGCATTGCCATGCGAAATGAAAAACAGTCCGGAGAATTGCAGTGAGTGCCGAGCATACGGCGTTGATATCTCGATCACTCCTTGAATCTAAAATAACAAATTAAAAATGCCCGGTGGTGTTGTTTTTCTCGTGTGTATCCCCACATTATCGTACGAGCATCAATTGATCTTCGGAGTTCCAGTGAAAGTATCGAAAAAGAATGAAAAACCCCCGGCGAAGATCGGAGCGAAGGTGGACTTAAGATTGAAAGAAGTAGGAAATCGCGACTTGATTACAATTGGAGACACCGACAGTGATATCGACGATCAAAATGATAACGAGATGGCCGAGGGAAATTTTCACGCGAGGAAGAGACTGAAAACTCGATTGGGATCTCCAGGCCCTAGTAGGACAACCAAATCTCCAGTTTTCGTTCCCATGGAGACCGTTCTGGATGAATTGTTGAAGAAACTCAGGGTGGAACATGTGGTGTGGTGCAAAGACAAGGGGAATATGTATTATGAGGTCATTTTTCCAGTACCCGCTGGAGATCCTTGCGAAAATTGTTTGCATTGCTTGACGGAAATGGGAATTGGACGGCGGATGAATTCAATTGTGAGGTACTTCCAATAACTACCCGATAATTACCCAATTTTTATACGTAACTAATTGAATTGCAATTGATATCGCGCTATAATTATGAGATTTATTCTTTATTCTGGACATAAATATTTTGTTAAATATTGCAGTGTGATCCCAACGCAATGTACATACAGTAGTTTGAACAATTCGAGTCATCTACCCGTCTCCACCGATATTATACAGAAGAAAGAAGATGCTGAGGATCGTAGGAATGCTTGGGAGGCCTTCGTAGGCTCCATCCGTTCGAAATTAACAGTGAAACAGGTTGTCGATGGAGTTCGATCCGGCGGCGATCTTACGTTCGATTATATCCTCCTGGTGGTCACTGCAGAGTAATAATTATTATTCATTAATACTTGAATTCGATAGATCGATTGAATTATCCTCTCATTCTTATCTCCACTCAGTTGTCTCGCGGCTCTTGGACTTGTGGAAAATAGCGCTACGAATGTCGTTGCAGCTATGCTGGTGTCCCCGCTAATGGTGATTCCCAATATTATCTATTAATTTATGAAAATAAATATAGAATAATTTTATATCAGATTTTATACTGATTTTTTACAGCGAAAAAGAATTATTGCAAAAAGAAAATTGATATTGATTAATAATTTCACTGGTTTTAGTTAAACATTTAAACATTCTTCATTTAATTATGATTATCAAAAAAGGGACCTGTAATGTCTTTGACATTTGGAACAATAATCGCAGATAAGGATTTGATATGCGTGGGATTGAAGAGTTTGCTTCTTGGGATTTTCATTTCGATTTTGTTTGGATTTATCTTTGGACTCCTCCTGGGAACAACTGAGATGCCCTGGGGGTACAACGATTGGCCGACTGATGAAATGAAAGGAAGGTGGGTTTATAGCTCACATTTATTTAATTTTATAAAATATAATTTATATATTATAAATTCTACCAAGACGAAGCTAAAAGCGCATGCCATTTTTTCGCATTTTTTTCGGGAGAGAATTTAATTCGTCTGATTTTTAATTATTTTTCTTCATTCAGAGGGAATTATAGATCACTTTGGATGGGTATTCTCTGGGCCCTGCCTTCAGGAACGGGAGTAGCTGTAGCTCTTCTTCAAGGAAGTAATGGTCCACTCATTGGTGTAGCTATTTCTGCATCATTGCTACCACCAGTTGTCAATTGTGTATGTTAAAGTAAATTTTTAAGAAAAATAGTCTGGCCTGTAAAAAAATGGAGTCAACAGTCCAGATAGAGATTAGAAAAAGAATAAATATAATGATAATTTGAAGGGTCTTTTCTGGGCTCTCGGATGCATCTGGCTGATCTATCGACCCATAAAAATGCCCCACATCAAAGGGGAGTCATACGGAGACTTAAACACCTCTTACAAATACGTCTACACGGATTATCTCCCAGTGGAGTTTTTCTGCAATGGGATAATTAGCGCCTGCTTGACCTTCATTAATGTCATGTGCATTTTTATCACTGCGATAATCGTACTCAAGGTAATGAAATCGTGAAACAAATGTGATTAGCAAATTAATAATAATTATTTATTCAGATCAAGGAAGTTGCTGCCCCATACACCTCAACACCTGAATTACGAAGATTCTGGGAACATGATATCAGAATGGCGAGAGATAAAAATACATCGAGGGATGTTAGTTCAGTGGACTCAAGGTGAAGGGAAATTAAATCATCTTCATGATTATTTGCATTCACTCGGGGAAGGCAATGAGTGAATAATTAATTTTTTGATATTTTTATATAATCGATAGCTTTCTGTAATTGTCAGTTGTTTTTTTTAGCTTTTATGAAGGATTGAGTAGGCCCAAACAAAGGGCATTGGAGAGGACTTTGAATGAAGCTGTGAGAGAGGCCATGAATGATGAAACATTCAGAGAAGTCAAGAGATTGAGCTATGGCCAGCATGGGCCCGATGATGTGAGGATCTTTTATCAATTTTAATACCCCAACACCTTCAGAATCATCGGATATTTCTCAATCGTTGCGCAGTGCGAGGGATTTTTTTTTGGAAATAATTATTTAAAGTTCATTCATTCCCTTTGTAGATTACACCGAGATTAGGACTTGGTGCAAGTCCACCCGGGTCAGCCCGCCTGCAGGAGATGAGTCCACCTCATCCAGCCGATGGTCCATCAAATCCTGAAAATACTAGTGAGGACTTGGCTGCTCTGGATCGACTCATAACATACCTCCTCGGTCAACCCAGTGGCAACCTAGAGAATTGGAGACGTTCCCGAAGAATGAGTGCACGTGGCTATCGTCAGCTGCGACCCACTGTCATTGATTCTGGTGCCAACACACGTGCCTCCAACATTGGCACGACGCGCTTGTAATTTTTTTCATTTTCTTAAATAAAGACATCCAACGAATGCACAAAATTATCTTCAAAGCTGAAGGTAACACGACTTTTCTAAAAAAAAAGTTGACCCATTAAAAGGCTTGATGTCGAGAATTGTTTCAGAAAGGAATTCCTCGGCTTCTCCAAATTTCTTCATTTTTATTCCAGCACAGAATAATTATGACTCATTTATTGACTTGATTCTGCGTATATATTGAAAATGTTCCATTGGTACCTTAATACATCTGTAGAAATCTCTTTAAATCGTCTCTTTGTTTCAATTATTTACATAATTTTGAGGTAAATCATTCAATTTCATCGAAGTTGGAGGGTTCCGTACCGAAATATCTGTCACCGAAATTTCCAATGCCAGGTAGAACGTAGAATTTTTCGTTAATTTCAGGATCTAAGGCTGATGTTACTATTTTGACACTGGGGAAAGCATAGGCGATCGAGTGAACGCCCGATTCAGCCATTAAGAGGGAAACCACGAGGATATTCTCTTCCGCAACATCGTGATCTAGGAGAACCCGTATTGCCATCATTGCTGCTGCTCCGGTCGCCACGGTTGCATCCATCAGAATGACTCTGTAGTCCTTAATATCCTTTGGAAGACGTTGATAGTATAACTAAAATAATAATACGAATGATCATGGAAATGTTGCAGTCATTTACATTTTCAATAAAAAATAAATTCAATAAAAATTCAATAAAAATTCAATAAAAATTCAATAAAAATTCTACCTCAGGCTCATCAGTCACGAGATTCGTTTGAATGAGAATTTTTCCGATTCGAATATCCTTGCACACATCGCAGAGAGCTTGCTCCATCGTCTCTCCAGCTCGTAAGATAGAAACTCCACATATTTTGTCAGTGGCACTGCGTTTTCCATGATAGGGTACACCTTGCGGGGTTTCCACTGTTATTTCCTCGAAAGGCAATAGTGATAGGGCATATTCGATTACAAGTCTTATGAGACGACGCGAGTAGAATATAAACTCGTCCCTGTCTGTGTGTTTGTTACGAATGAATGTATGCAATCCTTTAACTTGAGGAGTGTCTGGTAACATGAAGAGGGACGACGGCAGAGGTTGACCGATGTAGGAGTGAGCGAGTTTCTCTCGTAGTTTGAAACCTCTCTGTGAAAACAATGCAAATGTATTGATTACTTATTGATTTAATTTTATTTATACATCGAATCCAATCATCGAAATAAATTGATGAGTTTAAGCTGCAGTTAATTTTTTTTTATTATGCAAAAATGAAAAATTTTCGAATTGAAAAAAGAGCATGTCCGATATTTTTACCCAATTCACGCAAAATGGGTAATTAACAGGGTGTAGCCTTGAATAATTTAATTGGAGTAACGCTGAAAGTCTTACCAATTGGAGTTGTGTGTGAACGTGTTGTACAATAAGTTCGATAGCCACTTCATTGTCGCCTCCACGCGGTACGATAATGTCCGCATGAACCATTGACGGTGAAATGTAATAATAATACGAGGGCTTCACCATTGTGCAGTACTGCTTGAGTACACCCTCCAGATCTCTTCCTCTCTGTGAAATATCTCGTTTCAATCTACGGGCAAGCCTCACATCCGCATCAGTGTCTACAAATACTTTCATATCACACATCTGCAAATTTTAATAACAAAAGTCCATTATTGGTTACTTATTTTTATTTCTCGTAAAGTTTAATGATACCTTCAATACTTCTGAATTGTAGAACGTTAAAATCCCTTCGAAAATTATCACATTAGCGCCGTACATTGGTTTCTGAAAAAAAAATTGTTGTTTCATTATGTTTTTGATTGGGTAGACAATAAATAATGATATTGCAGACTATTTGTCATCATTTAAACACTTTCCATTAAATAATTACAAAATAATCTGCAATTCGTAGATCCATGGTTTTCCTGAATTTACCGTACGATTTTCTCTGCTGTGAGTTACAAAATTATAAATAGGAACGTCTGCCTTTCTGCCTTCTTTCAATCTCTGTAAAGTTGTCTTCAATAATTCAAAATCAAAGGCATCAGGATGATCAAAATTGTACTCATTACGAGCTGCTAATTCATGTTGTTTTTCATTAAGTACCTGCAACAATAATCTTCTCAGTCTCCCATAAATTTAAAAATGATAATCTCACGCGAAATGGTACATCAATTCAAATAAAATGTAAAAATTTTTAATCTTTTGAAAATAAATTGTTTCACCATTTCTGTCGTGCTTCAATTATCGGTAATCTTGAATATAAATAATTACTTTGTAAAACGAATCCATACTCAACAGTGTTACCCATGGTACATCCAACGATTCAATAATTTTTGTGGCGACTGTTGTCTTCCCCGAGGCACTTCCTCCACAGATTCCTAATTCATCCAGATTCATCATATTCTTCTCTTATATATTTCAAACCAATAGATCAACCAACTGTATACCAACCAATAACGAATGGTTCGACCTGTTGACCTGCTGAATTATACCAAGGGGGTCTTCCAGCTGTGTATATTGTTCTTGATTTTCCTCTCAGAATTGACTCAGCCGAAGTTTTCTTGCTTGAATGTGACATACTCGTCGTTCTCTGTCTGCGAGATCTAGGAGATTTTTGAGAACCTATAAAAAATCTCAAATATTTATCAATGATCTTTACTTTTTTCCACGGTATACACTATAAAAATTGATAATAATCATATGAATATTAATTAATAATATTAATTAATAGATTATGGAATGGAATTCTCCAATACGATTCCAATTACGAACGTAATATTCAATTTCATATGGACATTTGCTAATTCGATAATTTAAATATTCGGGTTAGCTCCAATTGCCGATCGATATCGTCGAAATGAGGTGAGAAAATTAAATTTTTATATGAACCTTTTTTGTAGTCCTCACCTCGATCTACAAAAAAGATTCCCATGAAATTTTCTGTATCTCTTTTTATTAACAAAAAAATCTCGAATAACTGATTCTAATTAAAAAACAATTCTCTCAATTCACGACAGATCTCCCTGCATTAATTTATTTAAAAGTCATAAATTAATGCATAAACAATTAGAAGAGAGGAATTAAATATATTGTGACACATTGAAGTTTTGAGTATTGACCTTGCGATGGTGGTCTAGGGGATTGTGGAGTAGGTGTAGACATATCACACCGAAATGGTTCACCATCTTGACTGACATCGTCTACAAGGAATGCACTGCGATCCTCAAGGCACAAGTCACCGTCACTAAAAAAAAATCAATCAAAATTCCAGTCAATTATCGCCACTAAAAACCGTATAATTACCCCTTCATCAGTCATTAAAAGTTCATTAATCTGCTCTAACAATCATGACAACGAACATGATAGGATAATTATAATTTTAATTATCAATAGCAGCAGAATAAAAAAAAATTACAAAAAGAGAACAACAATGACAGCCCTACGATGCACTTTTACCTTTCAGAACTTGCAGAGCTCGGTGGCTCGAATTGCTGCATCTTCGCTGCCATTTTTCCCTATTAACAAATCAATTTATTTATTATCCTATTTTAAAAATTTGCATAAACTCGAGCGGCTGTATTCCACCACGTTGTTGAGCAGCCAGAGTAAAACGAGTGACCGACGTTTTATTATTATGGCAAGTTCATAATTAGACCGAAACACGACGACAATGACTTACCATCAGTAGATAAAAGATCACCGTTCAAATTTACGAGAGCTCTTCATCGTCATGCACTCCTGATAGAATCTATAATTTTTCGAGCCGTATTTCAGACGAGAAATTTCTTTAAATGAATTAGGAGCGCAGCACGTGAAACCCATCAAACAAAAATCTATATGGAAATGGCTCTTTCGATGTTCTGTTATCCGGATACCTCCCGTAATTTTACGAGCCGTTTTGGACGGCATATGGACGTAATATGGATGGATTTAAGACTACCATATTTGCATTGGTGACGAGATGAATTCCAATTGTTCTTTCACTGTGTTCTATATTCGGATAAGCTGTGCAATAAAAAAAGTAATTGAGAGGTGTAACTTATTGGACCTAAACCTGTACCTGAATATATTTTGACCTTTGACATTTCGACATCAAATGCACAGACATATAATAAGTACCTTTTTAAAGATCTTTGATAACGAATCCTCTGGAAGGTTTTCCTGAAGCCCTCCTGTCAGATAAATCCGCTGTCATCACGGAGAGGATGAATGGACAACTTCTAGTTCTTCGGAAGTTATATTCCCCGGATGTCTTTGGTGTCTTTACGGCTTCAAATTTTTAGACAGTATTTGGACGCCTCAGGGACGACTAGAAGACATCGAAAAATTAAATAAAATAAAAATTCTTTACCAAATCGTGACTTCCCGCCATTAAATATCATTCAAATTGTCATAAAAAATGAGAAATCACTGCAGAATGACTCGTTCTTTAATTGAGATGATCTGGAATCGAATTTTCGATGATTCTGTTTTGATTTCAATACAAACTAGGATATCTACGATTTTCACAAGCCGTATCTCGTCTAAATTCCGTCTTCACTGGGACATTTGGTGCTCGTAGAGACAGGGTAAATATCCGGAGCTGATAACACGTGAAGAGTCAACAAATTTCACTCTGAATCTTTCCTTTTCGTCAATCGAGACGAGTAAGGGATTGAAAGAACTCAGAAATTAATACGACAGACACTCCACCGAGTGTCTGAACTCACTGGTAAGAGGATTTTCACATTTTCTATTAAATTTGTACTTTGAAATATTGGAGTTTCAGATATTATTCGCCTGACATGATCTCACTCTCTGAATTATCTAAAGAATATCTCCCAATGATGTCTTCTGAAGGAAAGTGTCGATGGGTTTCACCCTGGGTGAAATAATTCTTTATTATAGAAAATTAGAAATCATCTCTTCAGTTCCTGATTGGGCGAATAATAAATGGGTGAGAATTGATTAAAATGATCTTGAGACATTTATCTGTCGCGTTCAAAACGGGACATTTGAAGCTTGTAGGGCTACGGTAAATACTAGGAGAACAGAATCAAAATGGAGTTCGCAATTTCCCTAGTCGATATCTGCCATGTGTATCTCTTCGACAATTTCCTGGGCTTTGTGTATTTTCTTTTTTCATGGAAAAATTGTTGTTAATTGCAGATGGACTCGTTCTTCATTTTCCCGAATTTTTCCGATTGCCTGAGAATTATTCAATTTTTTATTATGATCGATTGGAAAAACGATGCGAATGCCGGAGAGTAAAACAAATTGTCTGAAACGCGACGTTGGGACTTGTGGAGTCACGGAAATATCCGGAGAACAGAACAGTGAAGGAAAACACTCCTTTCCACACGGGATTTATTTCTCAATATTGAAGATATTTCGAGAGATTAAGTTGTTGAAATGTTCAGACTTGAGGTGCAATTAATAATTAATGCAGGAACCACGACGAATTTTTGGAGAATCACGAAGAAATTGCCCGCCAGATTCAAACAGTTCTTCAATTGTTGAGCAAAAATTCCCCGGATTTTACATCCGATTAACAATAATTTTTTATTACAAAAACGGTGAAAATTCATTTGAAGATTTAATAATCTCTACCACTCACTTTTCTTCCCCCGTGAATATTCATAGAATTTGTTTATAATTAATGGAGATTTCGGGTCACTGGTGCAGCTGTCAAATCTGTCTACATCTCGTCTAAATACCGTCTGAATGGGACATTCGGAGCCGTAGGGACACGAAAAATATCAGGAGAATAGAACCTTCGAGGAGCTCCGAACACCAACACTCCCTCTCGCTGTTGAAATTAATTAAAAAATCAAGGGCATGAGTGTAACACCAGAAATTCGATTCGAAAGGAATTGTAATGAGACAAAAATGAGAAAATCAGGAAATGAGGAAATGAGGAAATCAGGAGATGAGGAGATGAAGAAATGAGGAAATGAAGAAATGAGGAAATGAGGAAATGAAGAAATCAAGAAATGAAGAAATCAGGGTGAGGTGTATTACTTCTTTAGATACAGGTGAATTCTACGTAGCAGAGATACAATCATCAACGGGGAGCGGATATAGGACAAACTTACTCATGGGATAACGTATCTTATCACTGATAATGATAGAGTAGAATTCGGTCCGGTTGGAAAGGTGTGGCTGAACTTCCCCTCAGTTTATGTTTTTTTCCTGCGATTTTCACAGCTCTTTCTTCACTCCCCCAGTCCCATCCGATGATTTCCATACAAACATAATTATCAACAACCACAAATCGATCACCGAAGAATTATGAAAGCAGAATAAATTTCTATCGATTTTTTAATACAATTATTCAGTGAGTTAAACGTTTGAGAAGTAATCATGATTTTAATCGAACGTGATTTTGTGGTTCTGTTTGCCATTTTCAGCGTACATTCCGGTAAGTTCAATGACTTTCTGGTAATCAAGGCCTCGGTGATTAGATGTTAAGTTTTATAATTACCCGTGGATATTGCAGTGCGAGCCCAGGAGAATGCCCAGAGCAAGGTTTCGGATGGACTTTTGGAATGTTACAACAACACTTTCTCGTTGTTGAAGATTAATAGATTACCTCATAATATTCATGCTCTCATTGCGATAATCAGGAAGATTGAGGAGAATCGGGAAGTTCATATGGACTTGCGACAACTGTCCGGGGCATTACTACATCGGTGAATTTTCGATTCAATTTATTCAACTCGAATTTCTAGGGCACTGGTAATTGCATGTTTTAATTAGAAATCTTTATGTTTTTTTGATGAAAGATTCCGTCAAGATGGGATTGTGATCGATCCTCAAGCTGTGCCCCAAGAAGGAGTGACGCCCTACAGCACCGAAGGATTTCAATCTTACAGACATTCAGAGATGTTGAAATTGATCCCAGGAAATGCCTTGACCTTCAATAATAACAGTATCAATTTGATAGAAAGGGTAATTACAATTAGCATTGATCATTTGTCTGGGGGCAGTGAAGAAAAAAGAAAAGAAAAAAAATGGTAATAACTCTTGATTCTTCTACTCTCTTCCAGTGCACCCTTCACTCCATGATCTCCAGCTCCATCGACATACATCGCCGTGAAGACGAGACTTTAACCTGTCGTCTAGAAAATCTAGACTATCGTCAACCTCGTTTCAAAAAACGTAGCATCCGTCCTCAGGAAAAAGGGATGAGTGGAAGGCACAGGGACGTCGAGACCCTGACACCTGAGCAAATTGAGAGTATTAAAAATGGAAATGGTGATGCTGACTCATTTCTCCCGAACTCCTGGTATCCACCACTTCCCCCGAACCATCCGGAGAGCTCTCGTTACCAGATGGAGACAAGCAAATGTCCCACCGAAGGGGGTGTTCTCCAGACCGATTGGGGAGTGGTTTCTGGAGGTCCTCTTCTTGCTGGAATAGCAGCAGCTGTTCAACCCCAGAACGTGAGAATCAGTGACTTGATGAGACGAGACTGGGACAACAGAGAGGCATTCTCTTCAAGTATCACCCTTGACAACAAATGGATAGCAACATTAGCCGGTGACTTGGCAGAAGTTGCTCTCCATCAAGGCCCTAGCAAGGAAAACTACAAAATTGGAACAACCGGTCACTGGAACTCCAGCAACACCCCGAAATATTATTTCCTCAATACCGATCAGAGTTTGGAGTTCACTGAGGCTGAGGTGAGAGGGGATCTCGATGGTCTCATCCTCGCCTCGAACGTCGCCTCCTGGTACTCGAAAATTCCATCGTTGAAGCTCTCTCAAATCTTAGACATGTATTACAGTGACCGGGGGGTTCTCAATGGTACTATCAGGGCCTGCAATCGCAGAAATCTTCTCACAATCGTTGCACCGAATGATACGACAAGTGCCCAGACATACAGAGCCGCAATGGTCCTCAATTCGAACACCCAATTACCCAGAGGTACAATATCAGATGAGAAAGTCGAGACGTTCTCATTTCAGGCTGTCAATGAACTTTTGAAATTCATTCCTTCTTCCATGAATAACGACAGGACTTGCAGTCAGACTAATCCGATTAAGAACTTGTTTCATCGAATGGCTGTCGACTTGACCATCATTTTAGACACCAACTGGCCGTTTAAATTTATTAAACCTATTCTGGACTCTATTCTTGAGAAATCGGAGATTAATAGATTTGCGGGAAATTTCTCAGTGATCAATGCTGCGAATGGATCTGTCATCTCGAGGAGTTCTCACAGTATTTTAGATTTTTACGCACTCAATGAAAGTCAGTATGAGACTTTCTCCAAAGGGTTCAATCTGCCTAAGTCTCTGGACGTTCTGAAGGATTTAGAGGTGAGAAAATTGAACGCCGAGAGGGAAAAATACGTGGGAGGTGGAAGGGCTGAGATTGTACTCGTCGTTCCCTGGAGTAGTTCTTCAATTAATGATGTTGACAGGGAATATTCGTTGAAGAGAATTTGGCAGATGAGAGAGGAGACCCCGGATGTCAATATTCTATTTATGACTGCTGGGTCCAAGGAAAGGTGGACGAGTTTGGCGAGGGAGGGGCAGGATATTTTTTCTGTGGGAACAGGAACTTGGAAAGAGTCTATCGGCCCCGTTGGCGATCTTGTGAATCGAATGAAGAGAATTCCCAAACGATTGATCAACTCTCAATGTGGAGCGGATTATTCCTCGGTTGGAGCATCTGCCTCGTTTGATGACTATCTCGAACCTTCTGGCGTCCTCTTTTATAGAATGCATCCCAATTATTTTTATAAAACTGATGAGGATGATGTACCTACTGTGAAGGTTCAAGGAATTGATGGGATGCATCTTATTGTTTGCTCCTCCAGGAATCCATTGAATATCAACAGCAGTGAGTCTGCGAGCTGTTCTACTGTCACTGGTGGAATCCATCGCATAAATGTCAATTGCAGAGAAGCTGCGTACATTCATCAATGCAATCCACTTTACTTGTCGATTACTGCTGGGAACAGGACGAGTGAGGAATTTTATCCATGCACAAGTGAGTGTGAAAAATAATTTCTATTTCAAAAATAGGAAACAGTCCCCACGTGACGCATGTCTTTTGACATTTTTTCGAATTTTATTACTCAGGCATGCAATTATTTTCTATAAAAATAATTATCTTGTTTATTCCAGGTGAATCACACTGCCGATTTCCTGACATGATAAAATTCACCATTTCCTACGAAAATCTTGTCTGCACCAGTGGGACTGCCTCGATAATATTCTCTCCCATTTTCATTTTACTATCGGCAATTTTAATTTTACGATTCAATTTTTTAAAGTAAATAATAAGTCACTTTAATATTAGTCCCTTCAATTGAATACGCCATCAATATCATATTTCTCTTTTTCGCTGTTTTAATATTTCGTAATCAATTCATTTACTACGATCATACCTGCCGAATCAATTGCATTCATTTGTACTTAAATTATAAGAACCATTTATCATTCATCATAATAAAAAAGCGATTGTTTACCAATATCATTATTTCTATATTTTATAATTATCAATAAATTGTACACGATTTACAAGAATTACTCCTCATCGCTCCAGTCGGTTCCCTGAGATCGAGTATCGGTGTTGGGCTCAGGCTCGTCTATCGAATTCGCTGATTCACTGAGCATTTTTCCCAATACCTGAAGAAGCTGCTGTTTGTAGTCCTGAATTCGATCGTAGGTAGTCTGATCATCGACAGGCAATCCCTGATTAGCAACCATGTAACGTACAATTCCCCACATTATGTCTCGAAATTTTAATAACATCGTGGCAGTTTCTTTATTACAGAGTAGCCTGATATTTTTTCGATCCTTCATCATAAAGAGAATCTGATTGCTTGAGTTGACGTCGTCCTCACCAGTGGAAGCCTTGTGGACATATCCCAGAACTTGTGCCTGACTGAAGAGAAAAACAGTCAAAGGTGATACCATACTACATTCCCTCACCAAACTCATCCTCCTTTCCTCGCTGTGAGTGCTCCTGACATACGTTAAATACGGACTAGGCCACTTTTTCCTTTTGAAATTCACACTATCCGGAGTGATAGAAACCCTTGTTCCATTTTCAGTTACAAAAGTCGAGCTCCCCTTCTTCAGCAGTCCATTTCTGATTTCAAAGTCCCTCTGGTAAATAACTTGATCAACTCCAGACAGCAAAACACCTCTCACCATCTCATCAAGTTCTGCATACTCATTAGCATTTTCATTGAGATTATGGTACTCCTTCGGGCAATCGATCATCTTTGCATGCAGAAGATGCTCCCCATACAGTTCTCTTACTTTGTTCAATGTGTACATTCTCTCAGGATAGAGTCTTGATTTGAAACAAAAATCACGAGCCTGGAATTTACCAGCATTGGCATAAGACAGCCACTGCTGATAGAGCCAAACGAGACTAGTGTGGTCACTTGTCGGGTGATACTGTTTCTTGACATCTCTCACAGCTTGTTTATTCTGTAAAACTCCAGTGAAAATGTCGCTCTCTGCTGCCATTGCAGCTGATATCGTCAGCATGGGTGATACACAATTGAATATCGAAGAGTACAGCAGAGCTTTGCTCAATCTAGGCTGCACTGTGAAGAAGGCAATTCGTTTTCCCAGAGGTGTTAAATTCTCCTGGTGATCGAGGGCCCCGAGCTCAACGAGATCCCTCACCGCTTGTTCAATTACCACAGGTGCTGGTGGCTCTGGTACACTTCCAAAAAATTCAAGAGCTTTTTCATTACTGCTGTAAGTCTTTCCATCAAGAACAGTCTTCTCCAGAGAGGAGCGCTTTATTTCCGGTATTGGATGTGGCAGCAAATTGTTAAACATCTCCCTCGTGACAAAGTGGTAGCTAACTCCAGGTTGAACTCTTCCAGCTCTTCCTTTTCGTTGGTTAATGTTTGCTTGGGATGCCCATTGATTTTTGATTGATGATATTCCTAGTTTCTCGTGCCACTGCAATTGTCTGTGGGTACAGGAATCAACGACGTAGACAACATCAGTAACTGTTATTCCAGTCTCAGCAATGTCAGTAGCTAGAACGATTTTTCGCACGTGGGGTGGCGGCGTGTCGAAGATTTTCCTCTGGTCGTAATGAGCCATCTTTGAGTGAAGTGGAACGATCATAACGTCATCCTTTCGTCTCGAGAGAACACTGTATTCTTCCAGGTACTTTCGCATTTGTGATATCTCTGCCCAACCAGGTAAAAAACACAGAATAGCACCTGGTGGCTTGTTCTTCGTTATCCAAACGATGAGCTCTCCCATTTTAACCAAATCAATATTTGGGGTATCCTGCAGGACGTCTGTGGTTATCGGTCGTCTGTCATCGAAGAGCATTCCGCTGTAAGAATTTTGCGTTTGTAATCCTAGACTGTCGATGTCCTCTAAGTAATGAGCCTCAACTGGATAGACTCGTCCTGGAACTTCTATCACTTTACAGTTGAAATAATTCTGGAATAACTCGGCATTTATTGTCGCAGACATGATTATCACCTTGAGGTCTTTGTTGATGACCACAGCACGTTTCAGAAGTGCCAGTAACATGTCTGTATTGATTGTTCGTTCGTGCGCCTCATCTACGATGACGTGGGAGCAGCCCTCCAGCTTTGGATTGAATTGGAGCTTACGGAGGAGAATTCCTGTTGTGCAAAAAAGAATTCCAGCTGGTGTATTGGGCAGCTCTTGGCTTAGTCGCACTTGGAATCCAACCACATCACCCACTTGCTCTTTTCGCTCATCTGCGATACGTTCTGCGAGAGAGATTGCTGATATTCGACGGGGTTGAGCAACAAGAATGTTGCAGTTTGTGGCTTGTGATTTTTTCGCGAAGTGGTCCATGATGTATTGGGGAACTTGCGTGGTTTTACCGCAACCAGTATCACCCTTGATCAGGACAACCTGATTACTCTCAATGGTATCAATTATTTGGTCTCGATAATCGGTGATTGGAAGGTCCGAGGGAGGACTACGCAAAATTCGATCCTCATAACGCGCTTGAAGGACTCTATTCCGATCTACAATTTTTGCTTGCAATCGGTTCACAGGATTCGACTTGCCCACCGGATCTATGACTGCTCCAGTTTGAAAGCAAGACTCATAATGTCTTGAAGATGCTGAGTTTGCATGAGCCTCTGCCTCAAATTTCGATAGCAGATCCCGTATGTCAGTTTCATATTTTCCCACAATGAATTTCACTTCTTCGAGAGACTCTGTCGTTATATTTAATGGCACTGGCTTATTCGCTTGCTCCTTTATATCGATGCCACTGAAAACTATCGGTTTTCCATCTCGCAGTTTTTTTTCATTCTCGAGGTGGTGTAGAAGTTTCAATGAAGCTGAATGAGCAGCCAAAAGTTTTGTGTTTGCAATAGCTGAAAATAATAATTCCTCGGGCCATGTGACACTAACTGTGCAGCACCATTTGTCAATGTTCTTGCCTGCCTTCTGGAATTCATAATTCACGCAGGTCTTCGGCACCTGATTCCCCACTGTCTGATAGATTTCATGGATCTTCGCCTTTGGGTGTTTGTACATTCTCTCGATATCTGCGATACTATATTTGTCCTTCAAACGCACGTGGTGAACAGTTCGAGGTGATGGAGCATCATTCACTCCCGATGTCTTAGATAATTTATTATTTTTGATTGCATCATTTTTAATTGATTCTTGGAGTTCGTTGTCGTTGAAGAGATTTTGAATTTTTAATTTGCGAACGTCTTCAGTGTCTTTCGAAGCTACTGGAGATAGTCGCCAAAGATTCGTATGGAAATTTTGACTGCATTGGATTTTTGATGGTGATGAGATGAGAATTTCGGTCGGTGTTGACAACTCACGTGGGAAATGTTTTATTTTTAATGAGATGTTCGTATTGAAGAAGGAGTTGCGAGTGAGAATTCCACCGTAACGTAACATGGTTGACAATTATTTTCTTCTTGATCAATCAACTGATAATTCCGGAATTATTCGCGCTTTCTGTTTTATGAATTAGATCCACAAACAGAACCTCATTCTCTCACATTGGTTTTTTGTTAATTGTGAATTATTATCACCGTGTCATCGAAGTGGAATCACTTTGAATAATTATTGAGGACTTGGGGATGATTTGTCGGGCTTTTTTACACTGAGAATAAACAATTGTTCACCGTTTTTTAATGTTTTTGTTGTGTAACTAATGAGAGCCGAAGGTTATACGGTAATGGCTTATCTCAGGTGTTCTCTAGTCTTCTGAGGGCTTTCAGCACGTGAGAAATTATAACCAAAACTTTTTCCCCCGTACCACGTGAGAAGCGCGAAATATTTGAATCGTACGAACATGAAAAATTAATTCTGGAATCCACAAGTGTATATTCACATTCATTTTCTCATTTCCTCGGTTTTTTACTCGAAATATTTATTGCACACATTTTTTTTAGGGTTTATGATAAAAAATTCTACAAAGAATGCAAAATCTGCATTAAATGGTATACAAAATAATTTGTTTATTTACAATATGTAGTTTTATACGGAAAATTAATATGGAAAGGTGCACAGTAAAATGTAATTGAACTTTTAACAATTCGGTAGAATATCTGTGTGATGATAACAATTTCGGGCAGATGAAATTATTTGAAAGGCCGAACGCCGATTTACTGAAGAATTATGGTGCCAACAATGAATGACTCTTCTCGATGGTACAGTTGAAAAAATCATTATTTCGTTTCCTCGGTTTCTGCGGTTTCAACTCGTACTGCAATTTTTTTTCCGACTGATTTCGAATTTCTGGTATCAAATCCAAATTTATGAGGAAGACAAATTGAAAACTTGCAACCTATTATCATGATAATAGAGAAAATCCATTATTTTTACATTTAAATAATTGAGTTATAGAAAAGTGATTAATTCACGAGATGAAATTTACCTCAATGACACTGTTATTCTGGAGTTTGATTTTATTACCGGGGAGAATAGGTCTGCCATTGACGAAAATTGGACGTTTTCCCTCTGAAGACAAGAAAAAATCTCCATTATTTTTCATTCGAATTGTTGCTTGTCGTCTTGAGACTTTTTTAGCGGGACCCATAGAAGATAAATCAACATCCACGCAACGATCCTTCGATGATCTGCCCACAGTAATTTCTTTGGATGTCATACGATATTTAATATGTTTTCCATTAAGTATTGCGAATGTCTGATCGTCAAAATCTAAAGGAATTCCATCAGTCAAAGTGTTAATAAGCGCCAGCCATACAGTAACTTCGTTTTCCAAAACTCTTATTTTCAATTTATCATGTCTGTTTGCAATTGCCATTTCAGTATCGACCATTTCATCCTTCGGATCGCCCAATTCTTTATCATTCATCATATCTTCAGCATCTGAAAAGCTCACAGCGTCATAAAAATATGGTAGAGGCTGCACACTCTGGTCTGGAAGTAACTGATAATGCTTCATCAATTGCCAGTGGTACATCAGAGTTTTCGCTGTTCTCATTGGATGAAATATATGTGGACTCGTCTCTAAAAGCCTTTGAAATATGTCCAGTGTTGGTTCGGGTGTCTAAAAAAATAATACAATATTAAAAATCGGATAATTGCTTCATAGGCGGACTTTTCCGATTGATTTCCCTTACTGATTTAACCGCCTCCAGGAGAAATTCCTCATCTCTACTGAACAATGCTCTTGATTGCACATTAGCAATCACCGCAGGATGTAAATTCTTCATTGCCTGAACTGCAAGTTTCGAAACATCACTGTCATAGAGAAGAGCGTGCCACCTGTGCTGAACCTCTTGTAAAGTAAAATGACAAGAAAATTTAGTGCCTCTGTGCACAATCTTGAGATCATTTGTCTGCTGAACGCCAATAATCAGGGCTAGATCATCTGTGGGCTTCCATCTGCCCAGGCCTTTGAGTGAATTATTAAATTGAGAATGGCTTTTGTTTTTTACGCAGACACTCCTCCATCCAGCTCCATTGGAAATATTAGACGGTGTCGTCAGTCTGGGTGTTTGAATTCTTTTTGATTGACCCACTGGTATCGTTTTAGAATCATGAATGATGCCTGAGGAAAGAGTGGAATCATCAAATCCACTCGATTCTAATTTACTTCTCGTCGTTGAATTCGATCTGAGTGTCCTTGGTGCTGATGGGTGAAGAAAAGTTGTTTCCACTACTTCATCGTCGAATTTTTTACGTTTTTGTCTTCTCACGGAACTGAAATTTTTTTATCAAATCTTATGACCTATTTGAATTCATTTTATCTTTTAGAAATCGTTCAGTTACCTGCGACGTTGTGATATTGATGATTGTGGAGTAGCTGGTTCTGGAAGTGGTAATTCTGAAGAAATAGGTTCTGAAGGAATGAATTCTGGAGGAATTACTTCTGAGGGAATTAATTCAGGAGGAATTGATTCTGAAGGAATTGATTCTGAAGGAATTGATTCTGCTGGAGGCGATTCTGGTGGAATTACATAATATCCATATTCATCACGAACTAGCAATCCTGATTGAACTCCTGAGCTACCCGCAGCATTCATATTTATTTTTCCTGTATCTTTCTGCTTCGGAATAAGAAGAATTTCAAATTATCAAGAACTTCATATAAAATTTGAGGTTAGAACGTCTCTCTTTGGAGTTCTCTTCAAAATCCCTTGACTCTTACTGTCGCGACTCAACAAAAATATTAAAATATCAGTAATTCCGATTTTTTATTTCATTGAATTCAGCGAATGATTGGTGTTACAGCATTTATAATAGCACTAAAATATTGGAAGTATTCGGTTCTTCGTGCGTTCAGTGTCAACTTTCAAATATTTGAAAACTCCAATGGCACTGAAGCCACTTCCAGTCCACCAATCAGTATGTGGACTTTCTGGTACAGAAAGCGGAATTTATGCTGACATGTACTCCACATGCGGTTCATATGCGCAAGACGATAATTTAAGTTTTTTAATTTAAACCGTAAATTAAATAGATGGAATGTTTTTTATAAAACGATGTACAAAAGGATTTCAAATCATACATCATATCGTTTTGAAGTGAAACTTCAACGGATAATATCACGAATTAAATTCACATCGATTCAAGTTGAATTAATCAAAAAGTCTAATTGCGCAATAAATGCACCAGGAAATGCCGGATAATTTTGATCCTCTCGTAGTACATTAAAAATAACTGCAAATGAAAAAAAAACATTTTCAAAAAGCCGGGATATATTACCTCTGTCGTAGAGGGTGTGAACAAATAAAAATAAATGATCGACTTTTGTAGAATCGATGAGAAGTGGTCGATCTGCTGGATATCGAGCCTACATAGTCGAAAAAATCCTCCATAATCCGACACCCCGGCACTCCTGTACAAATATTGTTGACAGGGTTGCCACAACATAGTTTCGATTGTTGCGAGAGTGGATTGGCCAGAGTGATCGAAATGCTGTAGAGTAGAACCAACGGGAAAAATAGAGAAATTGGTAGGAGACTGGGGAGACTGCAGGAGTGTAGGATTGTACAATTGTTAAAGTGTAAGAGAGTGTAACGAGTAGTTATATCGAGTGTAGACTGTACATAGGACAGTGTGATCACGTAGACCCACCAAACCGCATGGTGGAACAACGCACACATACATTCACATACTCGAGGGGGTAGAGAAAACAAAATTCAACGTTGAAATGCTCTAACGGTGCATAAAACGTGCAGTACAGTGTTACACCAACCATTTGTTTACATGACTGGATCATCCGCGATCATCAGCCATCAAAGGGTAACTATCATTTCAAAATCCACAATCTAACCCAAATAATATCCAATTCATCAATTACTCATCCATCCAGCCCCTGAATTTTTGGAGTACGCTTGTGGGTCCGTCACTCGTCGCTAACGATTTTCTCCATATTTCCTCGTTTTCCCACCGCTAAAAATCATCGGTTCCTCCTGAAAATATCAATTCAATAACTGCACGAATGATTCTCGAGGAGATCGACGTACCTAATCGTCATTGTGAGGGATTTGCGGTGGAGATCGAGATCGGAATTGAGGGAAAATTGGCTGATGAAAATGGTTGAAATTTTCACAAGAATTTCACATAACATATGTGATGGTGGTGGTAATACTCGACGCCTCTTTCCCCTTCCATCCCCCTTGTGCCTCGTCCCTGTTAAAACCTGCGAGTGGGATAGGAGCGACGCTCACACGGCAAACGGCGCCGCTCAGTGTATTTCAATTCTCTCGATTTCTACCCCGACTTGAAAAGGAAAGAAAAAACATCACCACATCTCCACAACTTGCTCCAAACGAAAACCCCAAGCTCAATCCCCCAATAAACCGTCATTACCCTCAAAATAATAATCACCCCAAATGCATATCCTCTCATTAATTAAATGCCAATAAAATTAGTGTATTTTTTAACTGTGGCGACTGCATCGCCAGAATGGATTATGGCAGGCGGCTTGTACTATAAATACACCGATTGGACGGGGTAAACAAACTTGACCTCATCGGAATTCTTATCGGCTTGCATCAGGGCATTTCTCGAAGGTGTGATTTTTTTTTATTTCCAATGGTGCACGCGGTTTAGAGGTTATATGACGTTTTTGTATAAATGAATTTTAGGGTGGTGAGGGGATTTTTTTTTTTTTTTCGTTTTGGTGCGGCTCCGGTGGGGTGGAGGGGAAGGAAAAGTCAAGCACCAATGGCGATTGAACGGAAAACACAGAGAGAGGGGAATAGTGTGAGTGTTGAGAAAGGTTCGAGTCTGCGAGAAACAGACGGGGCGAATGACCTGTCGTGCGTTGGGTGGTGCTCCATTCTCGCTTCGTCGCGTCTTGTTTTATTTTTCACTCTCTGTTTTTATCATTTTTATTCTCACCAGGTACTCTCATCATTGTGTTTCATCCCTCCATCCGGGAGGGATGAGATAGCACCTAATGTTTATTTCTTCAAATGGATTATCAATTTATTGTGGTTTAATAATTTTTTTTTTTGGGTTTGTTTATGTTTAGGAGACAGAGCTGATTGATTTCAACGGTCATTTTTGAATAAGAGCCGAGGGGATTGACTGGAACATTGATAACGGTGGTAAAGGCAAATTCAAGGATGAAGTGGTCACCAGCTCCGTTGTTTAGTGAACAAGTCACTGAATTGACGCGGGTATTTTCACAGTGGAATGAGTGCGAACAGACTGTTGTACTTTATGCACTTTTGAGGGAGATACCTGCGGTACAGGCGAAATTCTTGGCCGAGGCTGTACAACATTCGCTACAGGCTGTGCCAGATCTTGATACACAAGAATTAAATGCTAATAATCCAGGTGAATTACAACACAATGGCGATATTTTTTTTTATTGTAACACATGACATGTGTTCAAGATATTCCGTCAAGCCAAGGATATCAAGGTGTTTACGTCTAGTCGTCGACCATTTTGAAACATTTTTGAAGCTTCACTCCGAATTCATTTATATTTAATTAAATATTTAATCAATTTATTGAATAAGTTGTATTGATGAGATATTACGGATATATATTACGAATTCCTGAAGGAATAGACCCAGAAGAAATAGAAATATTAAAATTTCGTAATTATAGAGATGACATGTGGTCCATGATGAAATGGTAACAATGCCCTTTTAATTATTAACCTTCAATTTTTGTCGTGATTTCAGCCTTCATAAATTCGCTGGTAACAGAGCCCACAGATAATGCAATCCATCAGCTTCTGATGCATTTGCCACTCCTTCGTCCAGGAAACGCAGAGTGCAAACGAGCTTACCTGGTGGTAATTCCAGAGATTCTGTCGCATGCACTGCAGACCCCCCGTTACACAGAGCAAACCCAACAGCTTCTCAGCTACACATTAATCCACCCAGCAATAACAAACCAGGAACGTCGATCTCTCTCACAGCTTATGAAACATCTCCAAGATAGGATAAGCTGTAGTCCAGCCATTCACAGCCTCGACGAGTACACAAACACTCCCATAAGATGGGACCCAGCGTGGCAGAGATTAACCAACAAGCCTCAACCAAACAAACAGACCAACTTCGACAATTTCCGAGGCTCTGGGAATGGATTCAGTCTGCACTTTCAGCAGCCTGTGGCACGACAGAGACGATCTAACAGTCTGACCCCACCTGTAGCACCTCCACATCATTTAGAAATAGCAGAACGTACGAATAACACGAATAATGCAACAAGACACAAGCCAAGGAGCTTCAGTGTCTCTGGAGACAACTCAAGTCTCATTGGATTGGGTCCACTGAGTCCCCAGAGCTCGTGCACATCTTCTGGAAGTGAGGGACGACTCGATGAGGCATCGAGTAGAACTCTGTCCAGTGGAATGAGGGATGTACCTGCCTGGCTCAAGACACTTCGTCTTCACAAGTACAGTTATCTATTTGCTACGATGAGTTACGAAGAGATGCTGGAGCTGACTGAGGACCAGTTGGCTGAGCAGGGTGTGACAAAGGGTGCTAGGCATAAACTCGCATTGTCTATTGCCAAGCTCCAGCAGCGGTACAGTACGTTGATTAATCTCGAGAAAGATCTCATTCAACCTGCCAGAGAGGGCAGTCAACCAGGCTCGTTCTCACAAGCACCTACTCTCTTAGTTTCTACGCTTGACGAATTAAATACCATTTTGGCAACACCATTCAAACCCAGTCAAGAAAATGACGTGCAGGATATCCCTGGACAGTTCACTAGGGTTCTCGGAAAATTGTGCAGCAGATTAGCATTGGAGAGTGTGGATGATGGTGTATTGTGTGCTTGCATTAACATTTTGGAAAAGGTGCTCCAACATGACTGCTTCACTCCAAATCAGAAGGAAAAGGTGCAGCAGTGGCGCAGTCGATTGGGAAATCCACGACCAACACCCAAGTGGCAGCATATTAATTATGGCTACAACAGCAGAAGATTTGGCAATCCTCAATCTCACAATTCATCCCACTGCAGAAAACCGAGCCTCAATTTGCCACATCTTCACACCAATCATGCTCAGAGCACTAGTTTTATGGTCAGTCCGCATAGGAACAGTATTTCTACGCCGTATTTACAGAACAATCACAATCAAGGAATGAGCCAGGGTAATCTACGAACCATTCACACCACCGAAAAACGACCCAGTCTGCAAGAAAACAGTCTCGAGGTAAATAATCCATTTTTTATGATTTTGCATGAATTATGCAAGACTAAATGCGATGCTCAGAAGAAAATTTGGAATGGTAGGACAAAAAAAAATTTTCGAGCGAATTCTCATGATTTTTCGTAAAGCGATTTTCATTTGCGGAATCAATTTGGGAAAAATTGAATTTGCTCGGGCGGGGTGGGACCCCACATCCGACAGTTTGTCAGTTTGTTGCTCTACTAATTAATTTTCCTCATTTCCGACCAAATTTTCATTCATTTCCTCTTATTACAAGACGTCTACGTCCTCGGGCAATGGAATCTTCATTTCCCGGTTCAGGGAGCTGTTCTAATAAGCTAGTCCAATCCGAATATCGTTGCTTACAAACAAAGATGTTGAGAATTTATCCTTCGACTTTGTCCCAATTCTGAATATCTCGAATAACAGAACGCAGCCAATAAAATTGAATACCTTACATTAGGATAAAATATCAAAAGGCAATTGGCAGATTGAATACTATTGAAGAATCAATCTGTTTACATTTGAATATGAAATCCTCTCAAATCTCTAGCCTACGCTAAGAAAACAAAAATTTTTGCCGCATATTCAAAGATTTCAGAAAAGATTTCTAATGCCATTATATGCCACATTTTTCCCCTCGAGCAATTATTATCACAATTGATATTTTACTTGAAAATTATTATATTAATTACAACGTTGAATACATTCTTTTAATTATTATAAATATTAATCGAATTGATATAGAAATAGGTGAATGCATATTCGCTACAGATGCGGTTTATTTTTTTTTAAGGCAATTAATTTCTTGTGCACTAATTTATTGATTGATCGATCAGTTACTCCAAAAAACTCTGCAACGTACGTACAGTGCTCCACGTGATCACTTTTTGAGACAACCAAGCCCACCGTTGGAGACAACAGATCCAGAAATAAATTCACGTCTCGAGTCCCTCTGTCTGCGGATGACCGAGCAAGCCATCGGAGGCTTTGGTGAGGCCTAAACAATTTTTTCTTTTTTTCTTCCTCCACTCTGAATTCCCTCCCCCTTTATGTATATCTCTACCCAGAATTCATCATCACTATATAAAGAAAAACACAGAGAAAAAGGAAAAAAAAAGTTTAAAATAACGGTAAAAAAGTAAAAAAAAAACAGCAGTGACCTACCCCGTAATTTGTTTTGTCTCTAAGAATGAATTTGTAAATGACATTTTAATGAAAACAGGAACATTTGTGACTGTATAACATATTTAATGAACTGACAATTTGGCAAGCCAAATGCTATTAGAAAGATAGACTCTTTCCTTCAACTATTTACTATGTCTTTATGGAAAAATATTATATATTATATTATTGATAGAATTTAGTTGAGTGGTAGAAAAATGAAAAATGAATTGAACGAAATGAATTTTTTGCCTTGGTGCGAAATGAAAAGAGGAAAAAAAATAATGGAAGTGAATAAAAAAAAATTAATTAACTGCTGCGCGATAATTGCAATATTGTTTTATGTTATCCATTTCGGGAAATGGAATTCTTCTGATTTTAATCCAACAAAACATGCATTATGAAATGAAAAGTAATCGTGTAATGTCTCTTTCTTTTAGTTAACTTGACTGATTTTTATTTTTTAACGATTCCGTCTGATTAGATACATTGGCGAGACTCCACGTGCATAGATGATTGAAATATATATATGAAAGAAAAAAAATAAGTTTTGATGAATTTTGGAGTCTCAGCTTCGTGACTTAAAGTATAAGATTTCAATAAATGTAAATTCACGTTCATTCTATTTTATTTTTTATTATATGAAGCATCACCTGAGAGCTTGTGGCGTTCACACAACTCGTAACACGTAATTCTTTCGTCTCAATGATCTGTGTTTGTGTTTTATTTCTAACAGTCAAATATGTGACAAAGTGATAAAATGGTACAAGTCGATGGATTTCTCTACTCAATCTTTAATCGGACGATTACGTTGATCTTGAGGATTTTTCAAAGTTTTAGGGAATAACGTAGAAATAACTTTGGAGATTTTTCAATCGACTTGAATCTTTTGGACTTTTCACACTTATGAGATATTTAAGATGACGTTTATCGGAAAATCACCTCGATATTTATCTTTACACTTGACTTTATTTCATTTTTTCAAAACGATTGAATAATATTTGTAAATTTTTGAAGGTATATTGACAAGGAGTATAGATGCGCAAAGTCATGTCAAATGTAATTGCTTATAACATCGAATATTGTGGCTTTCAAATCGTAAGCGTAATGATCATAATGTTCATAATTGCTGTTCTCACAGCAATTGAACCCCCTAGCTTTGCGATATACCTTAGTAATATATTTTTTGTGCAAAAACAGACAACAATTTAAAAATTACTACAAACAAGATAAATTTACTGAATAATGTTAATTAATTAAAGTGAAAAGAATAAAAAAAAAAATAATAATGAAAGACTGACAATTTCGCGCGCCCCAATAGTCGAGAGTAGGGATAAAAGAATTAATAAGATGATGAATAATTGATTAATTTCAATAAGTTTAGATAAAAAACAATTTGTAAGGGTCACACTTAGGTTATGCAATCTTCTGGGTCTCATCATTAATTTTATTTTCTATTGAAATTGTAACATTGACCATTACTACTTGACGGCGCGTGAATGAAACAATTGGAAGACTGCGGAAGGGAAAAATAAACCTGTCAAAATAATAATGATTAGAGAAAGGTATTAATTATAATAAAAAATTGTGAAAAATAAAAAAAGGAGTAATAGTAGTAATCTAGATTAATTGCCTGATTATAACATCATTCTATTATATTTAGATTGAATAATCAGTTTAAGGCTGCTTGGTGATTGCATTTAATTTCGAGTGCTCGATGGTCAATTGCCATTGGATGAGAGCTGGCTCGATCAGTTTTATCAAGGCAATTTATACATACCCAAGATTAATGAAATAATTGAATGCAAATACTTGAATTGATTATTTTTACCGTAGAAGGAATTTGCTTAATTAAATCGGAGAGAAATGGTAACAATGTTTAGGTCGACGTATGATCCTTCATTGCGAATGAGATGATCCTCAATATTCTTGGTTTTATGAAAAAAGGTCACCAGTCCCTTCTCCTCGAACATTTTCCCCCCTAAAAAAAAACAATCTCATTTTCTTTCTCACATCGATAATTATCTGTTTTTTTTTTTTGCATAATTCATAGAGATTATATATTTTATTTGGTTCGTTTCACAATATCATCGATAAATTCCCCGATCAGCAAGTGTCTACAATATTGAAAGACAAATTGATTTGTATTAATTTATTTATCCGTTTTAATTTGAAAATTTAATAGTAAGAAACAAATAATCGGAAACAACATGTTTGTCAAAACCTTTGAACTCCAAGAGAACACCATCAAAAGCTAGTCAAATGATACATTTCTTAATTTTTTTTTTTACAAACACCTCTAGTGTATTTAATTAAATCCATTAACGGTTGTTTCATAATTGATACTATGAGCTCCACACCAAGTGACATTTATTGATATTCATGGAAACATAAACAAAAATAGACCAGAAGATAAATAATAGTCCTCGTAGTGGAGTGGTAAAAAAGTGATCCCTTGGGATAAGAATGCGGAGGTGTTTTTTTTTTCAGCAAGTAATTTTCGGAATTGTAACTTAATTTTATTCCAGTTGTTCCCTCTTCTATTTTCTACCACTTCCCTATGGAAATTTTAAACAAATCAAGAAACCATTTAAACGTATTTATTGATATATTACCGCAATTAAAAATGGCAAATACGTAATGAGAAAAATAGTGAATAACGAGCCATGAAATAAAGACTGTTCCTGTGGTATTGAAGGAGAACAGGAATTTCTTTCTGTGTAATGATTAATCCAACTGACGAAACACAGTACCGTATCTATTATAATGATTGAAAGAAATTTTAACAAAAGTAATGAATAAAGGCAGGACCTAAACTAAGAAAAGGAGAGAACAGGCAAGTTTTTTTATTTACTAAGAAAGAAAGGGAAAAGGCAAATGAAAGATTGAGTGATTATTAATGAATTATCAATGCATCAATTGTAGAAATGATATAAAATGTTAATTAATGAGGTTTTTCTCTTTCTTATCATGTTTTGTCATTTTTTTTTTAGTATTTTTTTGTTCTTTCAGTTGACTTGAATTAATACCATACTCTCTTATCACCAAAATGAAATAATAATACTAATAATTATAGGTTTAGTATAGGCGTAATAATATTAATTGATAATGGATTAAATACAGAAAAAAAACCACCACAAACGTATTCGAGATCCCGGTGAGAGTCCGAGTGTACTATTGACCCTGTAATCGTCATTATCAAGATTGTAATCTGATGTACGAAATTGGAAAATGTAGAAAATTGATGGATAATGGTAGAGAGCGAGATTTCTGATAGATTGAGTGGTGAAAGAAAATGATAATGATTTGTCACTTTGAGACTGGTGAAAAGGTAGTACTTAGAGGACAACTGAGGAAGAGCTAGGATAAAGAACAAAATGAGCAATAGACAATGAACTAGTTTAGTAGTGGCGGGGTAAAATGGTTCAAGTCAGAATATCCAATTTTTTGTCATCATCATGCAATTATCTCGGAAATGAGAAATTTTTGAAGAAATTGGGAAGTGATCTTCACAATTTTCATTGTGAGTCATTTTTCATCTAGATCGTCAAATTGCTTAGAATAAAACTCGCACAATTATTTTTTTCCACCATGTTTATTACTGAAATAATTGTAGGATTAACGAATTATTTGTTTTTCCAGACTTGTTTTGGCATTTTACACGCGGCGGCTATTGTTACGTTAATTGAATGAAGAAAATGGCAATGGATTGATTAAAAGTAATCGAAAATGCTTAGAATATTAGTATGTACTGATTTCATTCATTTTAACAAGTGCACCAACTTATTTTAATCGACAATCTACTCATTTCTCTAATTAACTGAGTGTTTTGTCGAGGGTGTCTTCAAATGTAGCCCAGGTAGCAAAGTCAGAGACAAGAGCTAATGGTGATTGATTTTGAAAATCCAATCACTATTCACTTAGTTTTCCCAACATACAATTATCGACGTCTAATCGGTCCTTTATTGAAGAGTTGAAAAAATGGGCTTATTTTTGCGATCAGGTATTGCTAACTGGGATATTTAGTTATTAAGCCGGACAACTTGTAAAAACGCAATTTTTGTACTGTTGAAGGAAAAAAAAATGAAAAATTCATAGAGGAAATACACTAACGTTGTAGTGTGTAAACAAGAACCACTTTTCAATAAAAACATTTTCATACTCAACTGAATGTTTTGTCTTTCAATGAAATTTATTATTTTCCGTAAAATCACAAGAAATTTGTTCCTGGAATATTTCATCCCGAATAAATATTTTTACAATTCCAGAATCAAAAAATCCATGACTATTCTGGACTGGATTCTTCTATATTTTTATTCCTAGAAAATTTATTCATGGGCAAATAATTAAACCAAGTATTCCCTAAACAACGTTTATTTGTTCTTTTACCTTCGAGTTTTTTTTTAGAATTTTCATCTCATTCAATACATTATGTTTCATCCATATTCAATACAGAAACTGTTATTATGCATGTTATACAAATACTTAAATAATACACCAGTCGTAATTTATGTCAAATATTCATCATAATGACTTTATCGCTTAACGAAATCCATCCATCATTCTCTCCGAGTCTACTTATATTAGGGGCACATACAAATATCGAATATATTAATTTATGTTAATTTATTAAGAGCAATAAAAAGACATCAAACGCTCGCTTTGAATTTCAGAATCAACAATAATCCCGTGATATTGAGTAAGGAAAGTTTGAATTTACAATCTCGTTATTAAATCTGTGAAAATCTATCATGTTTATAGAGTTGAATTAAAAATAATATCTTAATGACAATTAATTATCATCAGTACTTCATTTACAGAGAAAAAATTTCATAAATAATTAAACGAATGGTTGATCATTCATTACTGCAATCGAACGATCTCAATTTAAATAATTACTGATTCATGTAAGTTTCCAATTTCTTTATGTTTCAATTCCAAGATATATACATTTTATATATATACATATATAAAGATATATTTACATACAGAAATCGAGGACTTTATTCATGTGCATTCATCTTTCATCTGTGATGATTGACAAATTTTTTTTCCTTTCTTTGGTGTCATGTAAACTAGTCGATTGAATTGAATTTAATTGTACGATGCGACATATTACATTCATTCAAATTTCTAATTACTAATGAATATTGAGATGTACTTTAATTTTATTTAATGTTTTATTTATTTTCATATCGTATATTTCTAGGATCATATATTTTCTATCTTTGAAAACTAGATATTATGGCGTTACATTAAAAAAATGAATTTTTTCAGTGTATATTTTTACTTCTGTAGCAGAATGATAAGCAGGAGATGAAAAAAAAATTGCAATTGCAGATATTTTCTTCAAATATTTCTGCAACTGAAAAAAATTTGAAAATTTTTTGAAAAACGTCAAATTTTAGACTTGAGAGTAATTGTGAAATCAACACAAATTACCGTACACTCGTCTCCTATTTATCATCAGTCAGATACAGACTCGATTAATTTTCCATCAGTTTTTGAATTTTTTTTTTATAGATATTCTAGTAATACTCATCGTGTCATGCATTAATACATAATAGATTTTTCGTACGCTCAACGATCGAGGAAATATAGATCTATCTAATTTGATAACTTCTCTCCATCAACGAATTTACGAGTTACTCGAAAAATACTCTAGAATAAGAGACACTGAATGATACTTAGTGCTAAGCATCTCCGAAAATTTCTATCATTCGATTTTCATGCATTTCAATTGAAGAAGAAAGTCTTAATCGCACTAGGTACAACATGGCTTGACGTTACTCTAGGATCAGTACTTTTTGAAGGTACATTTTTTATTTAGGGATGAATAGAATAGGAAATATCACATTTACGTGCTCAATTATCGGAAAGTACTCGGGCCAAACAGGGGATCAAACGTTGAAAATGACTTTCAAAAAAAAAAAACCGATAAATTCAAATGAGAAGGGTTTAACCGAGGTAGATCAATAGAATTTCCATTAATCGAGTAATAATTGAGGAATCATTACCATAAAAAAGTACCAAGCGGGCACACAAGAGATACCTCTTAACATTTTCTTCTCTCATCACTCATGCTCAATAAAATTGCGTAACACGAAAATATATTCCACTCCTCTCGTTAAACCCTCCACATCACTATTGGTTGCGTTTGCTTAATAAGGTGTAAATATTTCAATTAATTCTCATAACTCTTGTTGAGACTGGTCACACTCAAAGTGCTAGGTGAATTAGAAATTGTCGCTAATGAGTTGAGACTAACTGCGTGTTAATCCTGAAGCATGTGAACAAAACTTATCGGAAACATTCCTCGTCGCTCCGGTGAACGCTCTAGGGCCCCTTCCATCCAATTATCATCGTCTGTTTGTTCATTCGTTACGATTATAACTTCACCCTCGCGAAATGAAAGCTCGTCCTCGTTGTCAGCTTCGCAGTCATAAAGTGCACGACAGCGACGCAATCCGTTCAAGCTCGATGACGTAGGCTTAATTAAAAATATAAATTATTTAAATCAATCAGAGGCTTGTGTACGTGATGCATACATTTCCTTTGTTGGAACTATTGAATGACAAACACATGCTGATTATCGTTTCAATTTACACACAATTCATTTATTTTTTATTCGTCAAATCAAAGAATTCAATTCATTGACTCAGAAGTATTTGGATTAGAAAGTCATATATGATTATAAAATCATGAAACTTCGAGAGATGGAGTAATGATTAGATGCAAAAATAAATGATTAATCATTTTTACTTCAGAATTTTTTGAAATTCTCGTAATAATTCACAAGCATTCGATTTAAATTCACGAATTGAATTTAAAAATAGAGAAATCAAGGGATTGAATGCTCCAAAGCAGGAAGATGAGTCTTTTATAAATTCTGATGATAGGCGATCGATTAAGGATGCAGATGATCGTGCAAAGCATAATTCACTGGTTATTGGTATTGATTTTCAAATGTCGCATGCTACTGTGCGTTCCAAATGTTTACCGGATTCATATTGGGGAGCAAAGATGAGGGCTCCTCGGCGTAGCTTTCTAACCTGGATCGTTCCCTTCGCTGTACCAACAATTGTTAATGACAAAAACAATCAACCGAGCATTGGATTTCACAATAAAAATCAAGAAAACAAAATTCTTTGACTCCAGTTGCAGAATGGCTCTAGGGAAGTGGAAAATCTATTATTTATTTCAACACTTCACTGTTCAATTCAATATCAAATTTTACTTATCACTGATTTAAATCATTTAGTCATTTTTATATAAACCTTTTTACAGATTTTATTTTTTTATGCAATTCAAAAAAGTTGAAAGGGTTTATCCGAATCTCTCGGGTTTTCGGTTATTGCGATATTTTTTATTGGCAATCAAATAGTATTTCGTATCCAATGGAAGAAATTCTTAATGGCACTTTATTAAAATGAATTTCTTTTTATGAAATTTCGAACTATGGTCGTGGTTTATGGCGGTTCGGATGAATGGCTGCGATCTTGATCATGATTGATAATGAAAATGTTAGTTATTAGTATGAGGTGAAAAGTGTTCAAGCATGTCAAACGTGAATCACTAGAGAAATTATTATCAAATGCTACTGCAAGTTAGTTTGATGATAAATGAAAAATGAAAATTCCCTGATGTGTTTCCCAGATTTCATTCAAATTCATATCCAAAAAACCGATCCCTCCACCATGAAATAATTACACTGTTGGAGAATTTCAAGTGAAAACATTCGAATTTTAATAACGACAAAGTGACATGAAATTACAATCAAATTCTTAATTAAAAAAATCAAAAATCAAATTCCTGTCAATTAAAATTGACTTCAAACTCTCACAATCGAAAATTCAGATGAAATTATGACAGAAATTTCGAGAAATTTCCAACAGTGTATGTAATGAAGCAGTAAAATGCAACAAGTTCACCACGATTTTATAATTAACCAGATGAATGCAGAGGGAGATCCCAAAAAATATTTATGTTGTAGCAAGAAATGAAATCGACTTGTTGGTTGACATTTTAACACTTCAGAAATATTTTACATTAATATTCTATACGATGACTTAAAAATTGCTTACCTTTCTGGGGGGAGGTACAGGATTACCAATTCCATGTTCTGAACACATTGAACTGAGAGATTCACTGCTGCGACCATTACTCATTCTCGATGACGAGGCGATGGAGGGAGCTGGAGGAGGAGGATTCCTTGGCCTTTGAAGAGTTGACGTATTTGATTTGTCTAAAGTTCCATGTCCAGTCGATGAATCACTACTAGGCGACCTCTTATGATGGAGATTATTCAAAGTATTCAAAGAATGTGGTAAACTGTGCAAGGAATGACCAGCCAAAATGGGTTCACTGGTTGTTCTACTGTGCGACGAGTTGGCTAAGCTGACACTAGTCGGTAAAGTTCCATAATGCGCTGTTAACATTCCTCCTCCACCAGTACCAGGTGGAGGAGGTGGTGCAACTCTCTTTTTCAGTGATCCGTGAATATTCAATGCCATGTCCGGAGGACCCATTGGACTGGACACTATTATGGGTTTTCTTGCTTGAGGTGGTGGAGGTGGTGGCATTTGCTGTCTACTTGTCACTGAGTTTGGAGATGAACCACTTTGGAGACTATCACAGGTACTGCTTCGACTTCTCAGAGTTACTGGTGAGTCTCCGGGGCCAGAGCCACCTCCACCTGCATACGAAGGCGGTCTACTTCGCGATTTTTTTTCCGGTGTTAAGCATCCATTTCGATCCTCAATAATCGTCTCATCATCCGAAAAATCTGTTGATCCTTCATCATGGGATAAATTCCAGTCAATATTCACGTTATCAAACTGGGTCTTCTGCTTCTGAAGTGCATGACTCAATAAATCCTTGCACGTATGGTGTCCCATCTCCTGTGCAATGTCGGATGGTGTCTTATCCTGTTTATTTCTCACTGTAGGATCAGCCCCAGCCCTCAACAGTAATTTCATAGCCTCAGCTCTGTCATGCCTCGCAGCAAAATGTAGAGCTGTTTCCCCATCGACTGTAATCCTATCAACCCCTCCACTCTGCATATTTTGTACCAGAAAATCGACTAGATGTAGACTGCCCCCCATTTCCCTCAGAATAGCCAAATGCAGAGCAGTTTCTCCAAGGTCAGAAGTGGGTAGAGGTGCTGCAAGATCGACATTCTCAGCGAAGACCTGGAGCAGCTGCTGAAGATCCCTATTATTAACCGCGTGTTCCAAATCAGAGAGTAGATCCCGTTCATCAGCACAGGTATTCATAACGTATCGCTTGTCAACATATTTAGCTCTAATGAATTCATATCTTTCCTCCATCGAGGAGGATGGTGATGGCTTGAGATTATGATGAAGTGTCGCTTCCATGACTTCATTGAAACATTGATTAGTCATGTATCTCGCTAGCAATAATTGTGCAGTACCAACATTGTCGAGGGTTAATGATTGAATCCTGGAGATGTGAACTCCAAGATCCCTGTGAATTCCGCTGCACTCAATGCAGACGATTATGCCAAAATTAGTTGACAGCCACGTTGCGTCATTTTGCGAGGAGCAGTCACAGCACTGGTCATTCCCTGGGAGTCTCATGACGCACCTGATAACAGCCTGTTGGAGCTCAACGAGGCTCGGATTACCCTGGCCTGCATCAGCCTTTCCACTGGCATCGAAGGCTCGCAAAAGGGCTCTCTCCTTGCAGTTTACTAGGACTGACATCCAGGCTCGCTGGTCTGCCTCATCCTCCGCTTGGAAATGATAAGTTCGGTTGTAACTGATGAGATCGAAGCCACGCTTATCATCGGGGACTAGTTTTATTTGGCATGTTAGGAGATTGACTCTTGTCGGTGGCTTGTTCTCATCCGCGTGACAGATATCCAGGTATCCCTCTGCTTGGACCGCGCAGCGGCGTTTCTGCCACACTCGACGCATTTTTCCCTCGCTCTTCTTCAATAGATGACCTGATCGTGTTACACCGTGTTGCTTGTCCCCTTGCAGCTGGTGGAGGGAATAACCAGCTGAGGCATTTGTCGTGAGCTCTTTGTCACAGCCAGAACTACGGAGAAGACTCCGGAGTTCTGTCAGCCGTCGACGCTCTTCGTCTTGCGTCTGACGAATCTTTTGGAGTTTGATACTCAGGTCTGCGATGTACGAGCCAAAATGCTCAATCGTTTTTAAACCGTCTTGAAAATAATTCGTTTGTGCATGATAATATTCAACGAGATGCTGCAGTAACTCAATCCCCTTCTTCGTTTTGATTTCATTAACTTTGATGAGATACTCGCACATTTGCAATTGAAATAACCGTCTCTCTTTTTCCATTTCGTCTGCAATCTCAGCAGGTGTGACTTCCGTTCGTATAAGACCAGCCTCTTTTGCATGTTGCTTCTTCTCTTTCTCAATCTTTGCGTACTTAGCCTCGTAATCCTTCCAAGCTTTTTCAAATGGCCTCTTCAAGTCCCCTTTAACCCCTCTCAAGTCCCCTTTCAGCACCGAATCGAGGGGAAACATCACGATATTGTTGATATTTTGCATCTGAATAAAAATGAATAAATATGTAAAAAGAACATGTCAATGAAATTCAATAAAATTTATTTCACTCTTAGATTTATGATCGGATTACATTTTATTGAAAAATATATTAATATTGTTAATACTCTCATAATATTATTATCATTTTTTCCGATTCTTGGGATTCCACGTAAATTTCAATTTTAAATTTATTTTAAGTAATAATTTGTTGATTTATTGGAATTATTGAGGGACGAGGGAGAGTTGATTTTTATTTTTTCATTTTTTTGGATTTTATCCTTTACATAGTGACAATTGATGCTGACTCATAACTCTCTGTTCTATTTAACTTATGGGACGTGGTTTTGAATGGTCCTTCTTCCCCTCTGGGGATGCTCTCAAGCATGATTCCCCCTCCAAAAAAGTGCTGTCGTCATACATGTGCGATCAGAACATAAAAGCCGTACGATAAAGTCTCGACATTTGCGATGGGGTCTTTTTCGTGAGTTCAACTTGGGAATATTGAATATCAGTTGAAGTGGATGGATCGAATGTCAACATCAAGCTATGAATTTTCCACCCAAGCTAGATATCTCGAGGGTGTCCCTCGTTTACTCAAAATCACCGGTTTCTTGAGGCGTACGGCGTGCGCGTTAGATCTCGCTCACTAAAAATTAAAAGTAAAAAATTTATAAAATAATGTTCTTACTAAGGTTTTCATGAGGGCACTGAGTTCTTTCGTGACAACAGCAAACTTGAGAAATGCTGCGCCAATATCCGGCTCCTGCTCCTTGAGGGCAGCATCTCCAAGCCTCTCCAGGGCTCTCCCCAGGTAGACCTCGTTATCCACGTGTGCTGCAAAAACAAAGGATCCATAACTATCAGCACTACCTTCACCGAACAATCTAATCAACATCTCCAGAAGACGATGAATGCAACTTCCATTAATGCCAAGTGAGACTCCATTTATTTTGAAAAAGAGAAAAACTGCTCCAACAAAGATGGACTCATGGGCGCGAAATGAATGAATTCGTCGCTTGAAAAGAATCTTTTGACAGCCACTAGCATTGATGTCAGTTATGGTAGGTAAGTCCTTCAGGGTGAAATGGTATAGCTCTTCCGGGCATCAGCCATACACGCGGGCGCCACAGAAATCGATTCTGTCTGAGTCTACGGTGCGTCGCACTTTGTTTTACAGCTTTTTATAGACCGCAATAATCGTTCACATGATGTTATTATCGTAGATAATCAGTTGTAATACCTCCAAAATTATCGGATACTTCCCGATTATTTTTTTACACGGGGACAATTTTTTTGGAAAAATTCCCGGTCCGTAATATTCGATTGAACAATAATTTTTATGGAGACATAAATCATGTGGAGTTTTGAAAATACCGAGAATATTCAGAAATGAATATGAAAAGTTGTTGTTAAAAACAAATTCGTCAAGATCCGTCAGGAAAATTGATCATTCTTGAGATAATCATCGATTCTGACAGGCGATTTATTGTCAACTTCATTTTATATTGAATTCGTGTTCGATGAATCATGTTTTATGCTCTCACCATTTCCTGAATTGTGTATGGCCTTGATCGCCTTCTTGAGTTTCGTCAATCCCTCCCTGTCAAAATCCAGAGTCTGAAAAATAAAATATAAACAAATATTTATTTTTTATCAAAATAAAAAGCCGAATTACATTTTTCCCTTCAAGGAATTTTAATCCCATTTTTTCTTTAGCTCCATAATATATAATTTGAAATTATATATTATTTATATATTATATACTATTTTATATGCATTAATTAATTTAAAAGGGAGGGCATTGAAGGAAATAAATAATTCAATTGAATTGGACGAAAAAATTGGAGTTGAATCGGAAAAAGTCCCGGCGCGATTTTTCTCGTGGAGTTAATGATGTGTTTCATTCACATAATTCGTAATTTCTCCTTTGATCTGTTATTTCTCACTCTGGAGTGGAATCAGGACACCTGAACGACTCATTATTCGAAAAGTACATCGAAAAGGAAAAGAGAGGGAGAAGAGGAATTCGTCGCAAGGTCACCAGCTCTTGTGTTTGTCCTTTACACAACCGGTCTTTCATCTCCATTCTTTAAAGTTCCTTTTTTTCTTTAGTATATTCTTCGAGCTAGTGAAATTCACCAGAGCTTTCCCTCAATTAATATCAGATATTCGTTTCGAATGCAGAACATGTGGATATGAAGATACTGACCTATCGCGGTGTTAGAGAAATAAATGGAGAATTCTAGAATAAAAAAAGTAAAAGTGTTTGAGAGATAAGATGGAATTAATTGGGGGGAAATGAAGGTTTATCGAGTTAATTGTCTGTTTTAGTGATTAATGGCTGGTTAGAATCCGAGAATGGTTTTTATTTTACATTGCAGATACTAACTCGTTGAATTAAAAGGTTTGAAAATTCAAAATTCTAGAAAAAATATCGGGGAAAATTTTCAAAATTTTCAAAATTCAGTGAATGCCTCCTCGATTTTTTTTTCAAAATTTTGAATTTTTCAATTTCAGTGAGTACCTCGATTTTTTTTTTAATTCCGAATTTTTCAATTTCAGTGAATACCTCCTCGATTTTTTTTTGAAAATTTCGAATTTTTCAATTTCAGCGAGTACCTCCTCGATTTTCATGTTCCCGTGGTATTTCTTCAAAAATTTCGAATTTTTAAATTTCAGTGAATAACCCCTCGATTTTTTTTTTGAAAATTTCGAATTTTTCAATTTCAGTGAGTACCTCGATTTTTTTTTTAATTTCGAATTTTTCAATTTCAGTGAATACCGCCTCGATTTTTTTTTTGAAAATTTCGAATTTTTCAATTTCAGCGAGTACCTCGAATTTTTTTTGAAAACTTCAAATTTTCAAATTTCAGCGAATACCTCTTCGATTTTCATGTTCCCCTGATACTTTTAAAAAAATTATTGATAGAGGTCAATTTAGATAATTATTTATTATAAAACTAACTTTTACGTAACAAATGTGTAGGAATTCAGAATTCGCTATTTTTGGAGATTCTGTACGGCGCTATTCTGGGAAATGTTGAGACACGTTTTTCCCGGATGATTTCGTTAGTTCGCAAAGTATTTTTACACTTTTTCAGATAATTAATATCTACAACTAATGTACCTCATTTATCTTCGCGCATAAAATTCACTGAATACCATAGAGAAAACCACAAGAATTAAAAAAAATCTGACGACCAATGAAATCAATATTTCGCAAATAATTCGATCACCAAAAAATTCTCTTCCCTTATTCTCTGAAATAATATTGAACAGCGCTCGTTTCAGTTCCCACAAATTAACAAAAAAAAATATAAAATAATGTAAATGAAATCACGAGTGGTAATTAAAAATAAATGTTGATTCATTGAGAGATAAGAGAAAGTGTGTACACAACAGCCTATAGCGCGATTTCCATATAAATTCCGCTATCTTCCGCGTGATGATGAGAAAATGGCAGGAATGTACCTCAACACGAAGGTCCCTCTCTCCTCTCGGAAGAGGGAAGCAGAAAATATCCAACGAGAGACTCGTTTTTACTCCACATAAGGCGCAGGTGGTACAGCTGCTCGAAAGCGTGCACGTTAAAATCGAAGGAGGGGCCCACTCACAAGAATTCCTCCAGGCCTCTTCGGCCTCTTCAGCCTCCTCGGCCTCTTCAGCCTCCTCGGCCTTGCTAGGTCATTTATACCGCCAATTGTTACATGCCATAATTTCAAATCCAAATCCACTCCTTCCACCATCTGCGCCTCAAAATCCACACCCCTAACGCTCAAATCGACTCCTCCCAAAATATACCGATATATTTATATATTTTACACCTCAAATTCCCCGCATTAATGTCTGAAAAATATATAATATTCTTTTTATTTTTATTTGATATCTCTCTACCTTTACGAAACGAATTATAAACATTAAAAACAGAAATTTAAAATGAACAGGGAAAATGTGGTATTTCGAATTCATAAACTATTGTAAGATTTTATTATACAAATATTCTGTTTTCTTCTCATTTATGTCAAGTGGAATAAATTAAAATCTAAATTAACAGGTGGCTAATGATTGATTCAGTCAACAATCTCATTAAATATTTAGACTGTGGAATTGTAATAATAGAGCAAGTCATCAAGTCATTTGGAGTGAAGAGAAAACGCTTGTGCCAATAGAGATGATATTTGCGTTTTTAATCAGCAAGAGTTATTCTGAGAAATGTTGAAGGTGTGATTGGAATTGTGACCCAGTTTAACCGGACACTCCCCAACGGGGGAGACAGATCGACGCCGTAGACTCTTGGAGCAACTTCCTCGTCCCTTAAAGATACCATGGCCTCTATTGATCGTTAGTGCTCCTCATGTAGAGTTAAAAAATTTAAAAATCATGAAATCCGTTTTGCAATGAACCGCCAACAAGTCAGACTCGCATTTCGAAAATATTTTCATCACCGATCGCACTTTATTTTAAATAATTCTACCAGAAATAATTTAATAATTGAATCCCATTAATTGAAAATCTCAATCAATTCCAGTTTTTACATTTTCATTGCTTATCCTTGATTGAGGATAATTAACGTGGCCGATAATATCACTCGACTTGTTTTCGCGAAATCCAATGAATTACGACGCATCAGAGATTACTCACACTTCAAGAATAAATGAATATTGGACTTCTCATGCGTGCATAATTTCTCATATAACTCGGTATACGATGCGGTAAATATCGTCAGACAGCATGTTTTCGATTTTTCAGGGACAGCTGTTCTCCGTTTCCCCTATCCACCGGTGCTTATTTATCCTCCCTGTCAGAATGAAAATAAAGGTGAAAATTCCCTTGGGATAAAGATTAAAAATTCGGAAACTCGGCCCTTCACATTGCCATAAAAAAAATTAACTTCCGGTGGTCAACTGATGAAATTTAACGAGTGGCGGAAAAGACCTTGCGGAATTATTCTCATTATTCCTCTCGTCTTCTATCGTAAGTGAAAAGGATGTGAGAGAGAAAGAAAGTTGTCAACATTATTCCATCTGTCTCATTTTTAACTGAACCGCACATCCCTTTTTTGATAAACATCTGTTGAGCTGACAGAAAAATTATGGCTTTCACTAAATAAATTTACCAACGACAAGGAAATTCACATATTTTCGTGTAAATTTTCCGATTTATTTAAATGCAACGAGTTCATTTACTCAGAAGATATAAATTAATTCATCGGAAGAATATTTTTTATGAGTGCTCTCTACATCTTCATGGAATGACAGATTTCTCAGTCGATTTTTACGATTTCGATAAGAAAGGGGGCATTGTCTGATATAGTCTTCATCTGATTTGACTTGAGAGCAAAAAGCTTTAGCTTTTTTTTCAAGCTTTAAGCTTTTTCTTCGAGCGAATCGTTTTGAATTATTTTTATCTAGACTATTCCATTGAGATGGGGTTTTTTCGGGTCAGAAAATTTCATACTGATTGTTCTGTCAGCATTAAAAAAAAAATGTGAAGCGATGTCGTAATCTGGGGAGTGATTACGAAAAAAAAAATGCAATTTAATCTGAAATATTCTTTTGAACGCTTTGCCGTCTTCTCCTTTTCACTTCTCATTAATTATTCCTTCCTCTAGGGCTTTTCATTACTCAGAGTTTTTAGGTTACGAAGTGAATAACAATTCCTGACATCTCATTTTATATTTAGGTAGCAATATGGTAAAGAGTAATTATTTGAGCAATTAATTTATTGGAATAGTGATAAATATTTCCGACAGATAAAGTGAACTGCAAATATTCAGAAATTAATCAAGTGATACTTCCACGAAATGTCAATAATAAATCCTCTATATCCCTGATATTTACGTTTCCCCTTCAATATGACTGTCAATTATTCTTCCATTTACTTTTTTCTTCACGACTGAGAGAACTTTCAGGTCACGAAGAGGTGGATTACCGCATGTAACACTCCACGTAATAATTATGCAGCAAACCTCTAAAAAGGGGTTAATTATAAAAATGTTGTTATTTTGCGAATACCTCCAAGACATAGACAGACGATTTTCTTTCTCAAATTCAATTTTTTCATCTCCATTTTTTTCTACTACCGTTTACTCTGGGGATTCAAGTGACAATACGATAACATTGACAGCATATTTTTGCTAATTGATTGCTCCAAGGCAATAAGCTGTCCCTGAAAGCGTTATCCAACGATTGTTCAAGTGCAAAAATACTCACCTCTTCTAGTGCTGTAATGGTCTGTCTGCATTGTGGCATTCGCGACACAAAGGTCGAAGTAGTTGGTGAATTGTAGTCCTCCCTCGTCTCCTCCACAAATTCACTAACCGCGATTAAACCCGGCATTCTCCAAATTCCTGAATAATCCCCATAAAACGAAAAAAAAAAAAAAAAATCACACTCACTGAATTTTCTCTTCACCAAAACGATTGATCACACGATGTTATATGTATTCACAGATGTGGTTAATCACTCTGACGATAAATAAAAGAATCAACGAAACTGTCAGCAGTCAGCGAATCACCGATGATAGAAAGGAGGAGGTGGTTGGAGGCTAGAACACACCTCTCGATTTTTCCGCCCCCGCGACCACTCACTTCCACTCTCTCCAGTTAATCCCCAAACGAAAAGCTGTCCTATCACAAAATTATTGAAACAATAAAATCTCAAATAATTCACATGAAAATCAATCACACCTCACCTCCTTTTTTTTATTAGCAAACTCGCGCACTCCCTTTGTGACATTTTGCTGCTCTCTCACTTTCTATTTTCCCTTACTTACTCTTATCCTTGTGTTTTTCTATTTATTTGTTCTTTCCTTTTTATCGGTTTCTTTTTTTCGTCACGAACTGTTCCACTCACTCATGTACACATTGTTGGAGTCAACGTCTCGAAAAGAATCGGAGAATCCGTTGATTCTGGGAAAATCTGGAGTAATCCGATATTTGAGATATCTGGTGGTTCTTGTTTTGGTGGCTGTGGGTGTTTGTTGAGGGGAGTGTTGTTGGTGATCCGTTGTATCTCTAGAGAATGTTTGATTATTGTATCATCGAGGATCAGCACGGGATCGACAATTCGAGTATTCGACACTCGCGCTCGCACTGAGTTCTCGCCGGGGATACTTACACACTGTTGTCAGAGATGTGGGGCTTTTGAAGGTGAGTTAAAAGATTTATTTTACAGATGTAGTGGTGAAGAGGAAGGAGCGGGTTGGCCGATGGCGAGAGAGTGCTCAATCTGATGGACACTGGCCGGAGGTATGGGCGCGTACGCAACGACATCGAAACATGGAAAAATTCAAAATATTCGAATAACTACAGATCAATATTTATTATTTAATTACCACCCCGACTCGTTTGTACCTCCAGGTGACAGAGGCATGGATAAACACACGTCAACGTCCAAGCATCTCCTAGCAACCAATATTCCTTCTTTTCATTTTCAAAGTGGAGGGGGAGAGGATGATTTACTCGATTTATTTCAATTTTCACTGCTGCATTCACGGAAAAAAAGACTCTCTAGGATACAGGAGTCACTACCTCTCAGCAGAGATGGCGTGAGAATCAACTGTCGGTTAAAATGAAGGTAGGGACGAGCACTTACTTGTAGGAATTTTTTTTTAAACAAAAGGAATAAAAATCTTTTGAAAAACAATTGTCCTGGACAGAGACAATCGATTGATATTATGATACGATAAAACAATTTCACGTTGCAACAAATGAATCATTGATGTCCGCAGTTATTTCTTTAATTTCTCATAACTCATATAAAAATTATCACCAATAAACAAAACTTATACAATTTGCAAGATTAGATGACAATGTGTGATTCAAATTCTCCCTGCAATCTTTCCATTAATGTTGACAAATTGATCTCTTTTTTTGGAGTGATCAATTGTTTTCTTATTTATCACTTATAATTATATATTCTCTCCCATTCCATCAGTCTCCGTTACGAGAGCTCGTTCCAGAATGACACGACCTTCCTTGTAACGTTGATTTTCATCTGTAGCGTATTCGTACACCCATCCAAGTTTTGCGTCACAATTTTTGCAGCTCACATCACGAACCATGTGTCTACCAGTCAACATTACACGATCTTGAATTTCACTGTAAAAAAATCAAGAAATTCCAACGCATTGGAAATAATAATATAAATGGAAAAAAAGAATAATCATGTAAAAATGCAATTTTTTATATTCAATAATCGCGATGATTTCCATGGACACAAAATTTTAGAGACTCTTTAGATCATCTGAGATTACATTATGGTAATAATTAGAGATTTAAAAATAAAAAAAGGTCAGGTGTATTGAGTGAAACTGATAAGGCTATCACTTCAGTCATCAAACAATGCGTATCGAATTCATTTGAATTGAACTTCAACACGTCTCTCCGTTAACAGAAAACATCGACGGATCAAATGTCATGGAAACATCTCAAATGACAATCAATAAATTATTTAATCTTACCTATAGTTGAGATTGACGACTTTATTGAACAAAAAAGCCCTTCCAGTGGCACCAGTGAATCTTGTGCTGATCAGCTGTGCTCTGTTTGTCAGATTAGTGTCACAAGATGCACAGGAGAACAAACGAGTGCCTCCGATGTGTTCGAGAAAGATAACACCCATTGTATTTTCACTTTCTTCTGTACCCCCTCGAATTTTATTTAAAAAATTGTCGAAATCCCTCCAGAATGTCACATTCAGATATAAAAAATCAGAGCACCACCAGAACGTATGGAAAATACTCAGAACACTCGAGAATTTTTAATTAATTACGTGACAGTCGTTTTGTTGTTGTTCTTCGTTGACATGTTGTGTCAAGTCTGAGGAATGGGACAGTAAAAAAATATGGCGGACGTTGCAACATCCTATAGCAACGTCATTGGATAATTGTGGAGGCGCGAATTTCAGAATTTTTTAACAATTTTTTCTTGATCGAGTCATATTTTTTTTCAGGATTACTTTTTTTATTGTATATACCCAACCATTCACAAATATATTCCTAATTTATTGCAAAGAATTGTCTAGTATTATTCACATTTTTTTTTTTATTTTAAAAAATCTGTTCATCATTTTATGAAATATTCCAGTAAAAAAAAAATAAAACAACTCGGATTACATCAAAATATTCTATTTTATTACGTATTATCACGCATATAAATACAATATGTTACATAATTTTTTGTATATACATATATCCATGTCCTCCAGTAACTGTTGGAAATAATATTAAAGCCTGATACACTTACAATATTCGTAGTAGTGCGGTCCAGTGAGTCAAGTCAAACATCAAAATTTCTTAATTATGTGATTGTCCTGGATATCAGAGATTCTAATAAACAATGGGATAATTTTTATTGTAATAAAAAAATCCGTAGAAGTTACTACAATTTTTCCAGAACTCAATGATAACCAGAACCATCTCAAAATCTAGAAATATGCAAATCGTTTTTTCACGTTACCACTAGCTTGTGCATTACAATCATGAATGATTTATTTATTTCTCTTGTATATTCATCGATTTTATCATTAATACGTCGGAAAATATCTGTTCAGTACTGGATCGTGGGCACCGGGCCCTTTCTAACGGCACAATAATCATTTTTAATAACCCAAAAAAAAAGTTAAGAAGAAAATTAATGGATTTCCTCCACTTCGAATATTTCCCTAGAAAGCACAAAGATAGTTGTGGAATTGGTCATTTTTAAAATTTTCTTTGCACATTTTTTTTACATATTGAAGGCACATTTGAAATATGGACAATTATAAAAGTTTGCTCAAGTAAGTTAAGGCCCTGAAAGTCCTACACATATGCATTGATCACCTACAACTGTAGGCGTATTTTCTGTACTCAGGAAATCTGTTTTCTATGCATTACAGTAAACGAAAGAAAGAGTTTAACTATTAATGAATAGAAAAATATAAAAGATTAAAAATTCTTTTAGCCAAAATCACAGACGAGTCTCTCAAACTTTCCTCCCAACCAATGAACCATAAATCTGTTGGCGTTCAAAAAAGAATTTTCCTTTGTCTATCAGTAAAGTAGATAATTTCAAATTCGAAAAAATACATTAGTCGATATAAATAATATAAATATATATTTCAATATCTTGTTAAACTTATCCCTAAACATCGCTGTATGTACTTACACGCAATGTATATTTATCTATGTAATAGATTTGTGGATTTTTGTTAAACATTTCTTTTTATCATGCCATATAAGTCACAACGAGTCAATGTACATATATGTGTATATATATCAATTGTCAAGAGGTAAAACGAAATGGTTCGATATTCGAGGAGAATACTTTGCGATTTGAGAAAGACAACATTTTTGTGGGGGCATTTATTATGGCAACACTCGGACTGCGGGTGATATTTTTATTTCTTTCAAAACTATCTGGTCGATATTTTGGAAAACCTACAAAAAATATAAGCGAGTAAGGTTTGTTCCCTTCTATGGTTCCCGATAAGTACTTCACCAACCGAGATTGACAGTTTATGCTCGAACAGTTTTACTGTGCAACCCCTAGAAAATTTATTATCATCTTTCTCGATTTGCATGGTATACCCCAAAGAACTGATGTTGATGTGATGTCGACATTTTTACTCTACATCACTGTAATCCCATTCCAATTCTTTCTACACATTTTGATTATCTCCTTTCATTTTTCCATTTACAAAGTGTAAGAGGACTTTTTTATTTAATACTGCTACTCTCTATTTACACCAGACAATCTTCAAACTTCACAATAAACTCTGAAAAAGTATTTTCTACTCTCTGTATAAAAATGTCAATAACTCAGAGTATATTGATTAGAAAAATGAAAATAACTTCATAAAATTATGAATAATAGAATTTCCAATTTATCAAATATGCTCAGTTTTTCACTTCTTCCATTAAAATCTAAAATGCCCATTCGGAGTAGCGAAGTGGTAAAAACATAACAGCGGATGTATTGTAATAAATGATCACTAACATTTTGTGAATGGCTTAGAGCTAGGATTGAGTGAGAATGTAAAAGAACTTTGAAGGCTCTTTTCTGAACTGAAGAGATAGGGTCTCGATGTTACTTCCTAATAATTATTAATTCGTTTCAAATAATGGATTATCTCGCTAATTGGTCATTCCAGAAGAAAATGGTATCGAATTTTTGGCCGAAAGGAGAAATATTAATCTGATTAATGCCTTTCAATGTCTTCCTGTAAGCGATATCTGGACTTATCTCTTATTCTGTCCTCATCACTCCGCCACAAATATTATCCATAGCTGTTGAATAGATATTTTTCCCTCCGCTTGTATTTTATAATCATTCTCGAAGCACCAATACATTTAATCAGTCACAGGAAGTATTGAACAATAGCGAACGAGTTGATTTAAAATAAAAATTTATAAAACAATTATTCCCACGAATTTGAATATTCAAAAGAAATTTAGCCATTCAATGCTCGAGGCTACGCCCGCATTGAAATTCCATAATACAAAAAATATTAATAACATATTCTTTCTATGAAATTCGTAATAAACGAACATTATTATGACAATCGACAAGATACATACTCGAATATAATTTTATTTAATCATTCAATAGGGTGAAAAATAGATCCCTGCATTTAGTATACTATCCCTTCCATTTAAAAACATCTAATGAAAATCGATAGTTATGAAACAAGAGTTGAGAGTAAAATTCTTCGTAGAAATATGTATAGATGATGATAAAGAATTATTATTTGCTACATATAGCATGGTGGCGCTATCAGTGGTTCTGAGAATTCATTGCTGATAACAAACTTGATAATTAATGATTCATAGAAAAAAGTATTCGAAGTTACTTGGTAAGTTTCGTCCGGTTGGCAGCGAGTTCGGCGAGACATGCCAGCGCCTCCAAGTCTGGGGACCAGGCTGTTAAAATTTATAAAAACAAAACGATGAGAAATTGATAAGCCACATATACTATCTGAATTCATCATTTAAAATACAATATTTCAATAATTCCAATTATTATCTACAATTGTGAATAGTTATGCAATTAGTTATGCAATTTTTCCAGTAATTACTAGTTTGAAAAGAGCTCATTAAACGAGAGAGATGACTGCATATATTATTCCTCGTTGTTAGCCATTTCTCACGTCGAACCCGTTATCTCACTGGTAGTTTTTTCATTGCAGTGAAAAATTTGTTTCATTCCTAGATTCGTACTTACACTGGGCACCTTCTGTGTCGTCCTGATCCTTAGGAGCAGTAGCGGATGCATTTCGCGTGATGCTTTGTTTCCTAGCTTTTCGTTTTTGACTTCCAACCAGCAGACCCTTTTCCATTTCCTCATGAGAATCGTTTAGGAGATTCATTTGTTCTTGATTGTTACTTGCATTACCACGTTTCGATAAATTACCGTGAAATTTCAATTGGACTTTCTTTTTCTTGGTGCGCTGTTGTTTTTTCTTCTCTTGAAATTCCTCCAAACTTAGTGATGGCAGAGCTTCAATTTTTTTCTCTAGATTAAAATCTCTGAAAGATGAATTTCATGTAATTATCAGTAGTTTTTCTGTCAATTATTACTTACTCTGCTTTGAAACGTTTACGGGTATTCCATGCTACATATTCCTGATCAGGTTCAGCTCCTTCAGTCTCAGTGTCCTCTGGCTTGGATGCTTCAACTCGCCCCTCAGCACTGATCCACATAAACACGCTCATTAACTCAGAGAAAATAAAGTGAGTGAAGAATAAATGTGAATGAACAGAATGGATATTAAAAAAAATTGTTTATTTATAAAAACAAGACAACACCGCCGATATTAAAAACCCATTTTCGTTTATCAACAATTCAAGGAGTTCATACTATTAAAAAAACTTCAGAAATGTGTATAAAAATCAAAAAAAAGTTGAGAGATGCGGGACAAATACCATTCATTGACGGACAAAAAAAAATATGCCTCATTAAAAATTATTTTAAAAAATGGAGAACAAACCTATCAACAAGATGCTCCAAATCGCTGCGTGTACTGTTGCCCCCCTCGCTACTTAATGAATCAGTCTTTTCGCTTACATTGGACGATATAGAATTCCTCCGTTCCTTCACCAGCTTCTCACCACCACCAAACCTCTTTCGTTTTCCATGGGTCATGGGTGCATAAGTCCTTTGTTGCTCGGCAAGAAATTTTTGGTATCTAACACCCTTACAGCTTCTCTCTCCCCTATAATTCCCCTCAACCCTCCCACCATCACTCTCATCGATGAACGTACTCTCATTTTTATTGACCTCCTCATCCAGCCGATGCTCTTCATTATTATTTGACTCAGTAGAATCTCCACAATCGCTGAACAGATCAACTTTGCAGTCTCGTTTTTGATCCAAATCTATTGGCAGTTCGGTGTAACGTTTTTTCGGAGGTTTTGGTACAGAATGATTATCCTCGGATAAATCCTCAGCGATTTCCATATCAATTGTCGATTGATTGTTGGCATGGTGAGTCTTCTGGGGTGTAAAGAGGGAACTGAGACCACCGATTTGGGATTCATCAGCTAATTTACCAGGTTGAATGGCATTTTTGCCGACGTCTGAGCTGGAAGACTCGTAATTAGAGACTGATGTCTCGGAAGTACTCTCGAATCCTCCAATCTCCTGCTTCTTGTTTGTTGGTCGTGTTGTTAATGTTCTTAGAGGTGGTGCTGGCAATTTGTACCACTTGAAGTCCGGATTGGCATGTAGAAATGCATCTTTATACTGATAATTAAGAAATTAATGTACATTGATCAGTGATGGGTTAAAAAGTAATGAATAACGAGGGAAATGTTGACGTGAAAAAATTTTTACCTCTTGAGCCAGGCTTATGTAGGATTGCTTCTGGTCAGGGTGGAGTGTTGCCCACCATTCCCCAAGGACTCTCGTCACTGCACGATTTTCAAGGTTAGGAAAGTGCGTACGTACGGATGTACGATGACGTTTGCAAAATATTAAAAAAGCGTTCATTGGGCGACGAGCGTGATGGGCTGGCTCGCCAGATTCTCGATCCTCCTGAATTATAAACAATTCCAATTTCCGGTAATTTGTAGAGCTTCTCATTAATTAAATATCTTTAACTGTACAAACTCATTAGAATTAAATTTTATAGTTCTGTTTATAAATAATCGAATATTCAGTGAGAAAAATATTTTCGGGACATGGATCGAATATTTATCGTTGTCAATGCTTTTATTTTCAGATAGAAAACCGTTTTCATGTTATGACTTTTCTTTATTACCCCGGGAGAAACTGTTTTTTAAAAATAAATTTGAGATCTCCAGAATGTGCAATTTTCGGAAGGAGTCTTTAAGGAATTCGTGCCGATATCTTCTCATTTTTCAAGTCTTTTACAATATCTGAGAGGTGATTGATAAAATTGATAAAATTTCAATGTCTCATCAAGTTTCATTACCGCGGAAGAATTCCCCTACGCTCTCAGTAAACTTTTGCAAAAATCCACATGAATGAATTAATATTCTGCAGCATTAAAAAATTAAATTCCAATAAGACGGAAAAAAACATCTCCAGACATTGCCTGTTCTGTATTTTACAAGCCATGAGTCATTCCAGAAGATGACACCATTGAAAGTGTAGTTGCCAATTGAATAACAATTACAATTAATGTTTTTCCCATCTCCTGGGCTAACGTTTTTGAAAACAATTTTATTACGCTGCTTATTAAACAATCAGCCTAGGTAATTTATTTTTCTTGTCGATCGATCCAAGAATTTGATATCGACTCAGATGAAAGCCCGAGAAATTCTCTAAATCACAGATGTCAAGACAATTTCGCAATTCCAAATAGCAAAAAAAAAAATCTCCACCTTCCATTCACAGTATTGAATAAAAAATATTATGGAAACGTATAGATAACGCACGTACTTCGTTATTGTAGTCAAAAAAAAAATCCGAACAATAAGACGTGAAACGTATCGAGCCCAACAAAAATCACGTAAAATCATTCCGATAACATTCGCACAATGATTTCTCGCTGGTATTATCAAGCATGACTAAAATAATAATAAAATAAATATATAAATTCATGAATATGGCCGATCAATATGAAAATCATCTCGTGCTTTCGTCCATTTGCTGATCGGAAACGTGCAGAAAGTACTCCTCCACATGATGACTGATTATTGCGACAGATTGCATGATATCCATATTTTTCCTCACCCCCCACACCAACAATATTACCCTCATCAATAATACCACTGAGCTGCCTAAAAAAATGAATCCCCCAAAAAAATGAGGGTATCCCTACAAATGATACATCAGTGAGAATAAAAGAATGGCCTGTTTTCTCGACTACAGATGATCAAAGTGACAGCTGGAGTTGTGGAATGTAAATACTGTCAAATTCCTCACGCATTCCCACCGTCACCAAAAAAATTCGTTGATTTCTCTCCGGATACGTCGACAATATTCCCGAAAATCCCTGAAATTCTGATGCAGCCAATAAATCACATATTAAATGGAATGTCGTAAAAAGATTTCAACCTCAAGGTTGATGTCATTCATTCTGTTGTTTTCAGGTTTTGAATACCCACACATATGCAACAGACGTCATACCGCAGTTGCGGCACTTGTTAAATAAATTCCTCGGCAAACACTGAATGTTTATCACCAAATATTCGCTATGATAACTCACTCGTTCCTTATGTATCACATTAATTCAACGGATATTACTGTTTAACACGATATTATCACTGAATAATCATTGAAATAGCAGAGACTCACCTTCTGCTGTTGTTCGTTGGCAGCCATTTCTGATTTCACTTAACAATTCACTCAACGGCGCATAATAAAGATAAAGCTCTCGTTATTCCTCACTCACTCACCCTTTCTCTCGCTCTTTCTCTTTCTCTCTTTCTCACGGTACTTTAGTTTTTTTTAATTCGATGCGAGTGATTTTTGCTATTTGCGACCGTCGGCTGGAGAGTCTATCCTCCGTCTGACATCATCAGACATTCGCCGAAAGTTCCAACTAGTTTTTTTCTTTTTGTTATTATTATTTTTTTTTTTGGTGATGGTTATATGCGACTTGAGATTGGACCTGAATGAATCATGTGACTTTTGTTGCAGTTGTTAAGAATGGAAATCCCCGATGGTCGCTGGTTTTATTGTGGAGAAGATGCAGTTTTTGAATGAATCCAATTCTAGATTGACGTTTGAGGTTTTGATCTGGTGTTATGGAGATTCAATGAAGTGAGGGTTTTTTGGTGGATCGGAATTTGGATGTCGTTCAGCGGTTTTGATGATGATTTGAAGATGCGGAGATTTTGGAGTAGTTCCTGTTGTGAAAATTTATGTAATTAGTAGTGTGTGATTTTGGTTGCAATACATAGGAGTGTGAGAGCAACAGACAAAAATGCTGTAGGCTGTCACTGTCACTGTCATGTTTTGATTGTTTTGATCGTACGTGGGTGTTCCTAGACGTGGGTACTGCTGTCAGGAAGGTGCAACGAAGATTGACTAAAATAAAAGCTCAGTCGGGGGGTTTGAGTAACCCCAGCGCCATCGTAGTACTGCACCCCAAGAGAGGGAGGGCGCCACACGCTATGCTGGGGTGTTTTTTTTTTTAACCAAGTTTTTATTGCAATGCTGGGGTGTCCATCAAGTCGACGGAGTGAATTTTATTTTTTGCTGTACGAATGCTTTTTATTTTTCATTTGTTTAACTGAAATTTAGCCGACTGTAGCACGTACGGAAGGGGGAAACCACATCTTGTGGAATTTCAATGAAAAAAATTAATCAATTAATTGAATATATACCACTAATGAATTTAAATTTTTAAATTAGCGCGTTGTCCTAGCGGTAACGTGCTCGACTGGCACGCCGGAGGCCCGGGTTCAATCCCGGCATTATTCATTTTTTTTTTTTCAAAATAATTCCAATTTTTTTTTTTGTTAATTGCAAATCAATTGAAATATCGTTAAAAAACTGAATATTTGAAAATCGAGAAGATATCCAGTGAAATTGAAAAATTAGCAATTTTTTAAAACAATACTTTTGCAATATATATACTCCTAATGAAATTTTATTATTGCAATAGCGCGTTA